AAGCCTTGGAGGTGTTTTCTCAGATGGACCAATATCTCTACTTTCTGGTCTAAATCCTCGTCCATTAAGTTTGGTTCTCCACTTTTTGGCCGTGGCTATATACGGTGTTGGTCGCTTACTCATACCATTCCCTTCTCCAGAACGCATGTGGATTGGAGCAAGATTGATTGCAGTGAGTTTTTTCTGCCTTTCTTAATGGTTAAACAGACATGACCTTTTCACATATCAACCATAATCTTTACTGCAACATGATTATATTCCAAATTATAAACAAATTATTGCATGAGTAGAGTCTGTAATACATTCAAATATGTATTCAATATGGACTATATTTTCTATTTTTTTATGTGTCTTCAACTTTCTATTAATTGAGTGTCATAATTTTCGATTTTGAATCAATTTTGTTGACGGCATTTTCAGGATGCGTCTGCTATCATTTTTCCTATTATCAAGGCTGAAGGAATTAGACAAATGTTCTTCCCGGTTACTGTGCCAGCATATTACAGAACACCTCCTGCTAATTTGCATGATTAAATATCATCTTGGAAAAAAAGGCATGCATGAACACATAACCTTTGCGCCGATTCTTTGCAACTGTGGTTACTCTTACCAAAAAAGATATGTTAACAATATATATATTTTGTATGTATAAAATTTTAAAATGTATGGTGTCTACCTTAGGACAAAAACCAACTACCAAAAAGATATATAAGTGAGTCTAGAAGAAATTCTGGTATAGAGGCCCCATATATTAGGGTACTGGTGTTGTATGTTAACAATATATATTTTGTATGTATAAAATTTTAAAATGTATGGTGTCTACTTTGGGACAAAAACCAAGTTTTCAATGTCAATCTTACATGCGTCTACACTTTGTTGGTTGTTAGTATATGTGGCCACCAAAAAACGGAATGAAAGATAGTCATGTTGACTAAAATAGGAGTGAAAATAATGAGTCTAAAAATATATTGCAGAAGATTTGAGATTTGATTGAAGTAGAGAAAAAGCACGGTGACTATTTGTTATATCATCAGTCATATAATTACATTCATGTGTCAAGATTTTCCAAATTTTAATAATAAATGATATATGTAATTTAATCACAGTTATAAATCTGTATATAAAGAAATTATCTTTTTTCATAACACAATTAATTAATTAGATATTATATTTTAGAGAAAAAAATATGTCATACATCTCAAATAATAGAGAAAAACAATTATTATCATTTATATGTTTAAAAAATTAGTAAAAAGAGGAAAGAACAGAAAAAAGTATAATTTAGTGTAATGATCGGAAAAGGAAACGTGAATGAAAAGAAATGAGTAAAGAATACTAAAATAGTGAAAAAAAAAAGCATACAAGAGTGATGAGAGAAAATGGAATATATGTTCAAAAACTAAAAAAATAAAACAAAATTAAAAGAAAAATAATTATTTTAAAATTTAATGATATAAAAACATTGACACTCAAGTTCCTAACTTAATAATAATATACTGTGACATCGAATAGAAAAAAAAATTATATATAAGTTATATTTTCTTTCATTTATTTATTTTTTTAATTTTTTTCTTAAAAATAAAATAAAAAATAAAAAATAACGGGAAATATTATTTATTCATTATTGCCTACATCTTTTCAGGTTTTTTTTTTATACTAAAACTCTGTCTAACCTTTATTTATTCACAACAATTTATAATTTTAGAAATACATATTTATATTTTAAAATTAATATATATATATATATATATATTAAATTTTAATAATTAAAATAAAAAATTAAAAATGCAGACAAACGAGTACATTTACATTTTCATTTCTATTAGTTATTTATAATTACAATTAAGGATTTTTTTATAATTTACTAAAATTTAATTCTAAAACCATTTCTTTTATTTAGATATATAATTAAAAAAATAGTTTTTAGTACTGATTTAGGAAAGATAAAATATATGAAGGTGAATAAAAAAACTATTGAGAAGTTTAAAGGTAACTAAGATTTAAAAAAAAAACTTATTAAGAAATAATTTTAAGTTTTATACCTTTATATGTATGAAAAATAATTTGTTTTCCAAAATTTTTTTACAAACTCTAGTTGCTATCCCAAACACACACGTAATGCAAACAACTCCTTCTGAGATTAAAACTAACTGAATTGCCGAAAATAATATATTCCAAAATTGAGAGTGTTTTTGAATCCGGTTAAGTTATTGGGTGTCTCTTATTAATTTCAGAGTAGATTTTCTTAAACCTAAAACTTCATTTCATAATGGAAGGAATCCAAAGTTTTTATAGAAAAAAAAATATATATATATATATATATATATATATAGAGAGAGAGAGAGAAACCCAAACTTAACACTTATAATTAGAATAGTTAATGCAGTTCGCTTGGGCTTTACCCAAAAAATGACAAAAAAAAAATTAGAGATTTTTTCTAATTAAGTAATTAATTTGCTAATTTATTTTCATAATTTCTCAACAAGAACAATATATGCAGAATAACTTCCCAAACTCAATGTTTTTTAAATCTTAATTTTATAGTATTTCTTATTATTTATTTTTCTAATAATTTAGTTATAGTGTTTATATAGTTGTTTATTGGTTGTAATAAAAGTTGATAATGGTTTATTGTTATTAGAATAATTCATTAAATATCTTGTCTATTTTAAAGAAAAAAAATAAAAAATAATTTATATATTAATATAATATTAATATTATAATTAATATTTTTATTTTATATGTTATAAGAAAATTTTTTATGATAAGTTTTATATATATATATATATATAATTTTTTTTTAAATGATAAGAGATGATGGGAAAATAGAAAATAATTTTATTGATGATTATTTAAAAAAAATCAATAATAAAAAACAAAAAATAATTTAAACTAAAAGAGTGATGAATTTTTATTAGATTTGTTAAAATCGTGAATATAATAAAATGACTTATTTTTAATTGAATAATTAAGAAAAGTCTAAAAATTCCTTTATTGTTGGATAAATAGTTTAAAAAATATATTAAGTAAACAAGTATAACAATCCAAATAATAATATGTATTAAAAAAGAAAAAAAGTATATGAAATTTAAATTACACTGTGCATACAGTTTTTTTATCACTTTACGCAAATTAAATCTTATTTAAATACTATAAATACAGAATTTAACCTTTTAACTCTCAAATCATACATATACTATGCATATAAATTTCGAATATTATATATGATTTTGCAAACTTATTTTTCATTTGTGTGAAAAAAATATTAAATTGAGTTTAAAAAGATACATTTTGAAATGATTATCTTTTCCAATTTTACAGAGAGTTTTCAAAAATGATAGTTTTAAACATATTATTTGAGATATTCATTCAAATATGTTTATTGGAAGGAGTAATTCTAATATGAGGATAATTATTGATGAAAAATAATTAAATAAATTATTTATAATTTTTAACATATTTATATTATTTTAAATATATAAAATTTTATTTTATTTAGATAAAAAATAAATTATATTATTATTTAAATTCATAAATATATTTTAAATTTTAATTTTAATTTACTTATGAAAAAAATTAAAAATTGAAAAAAAAAACACAAGATGCAAAATTTAATAAATTATTATACTTCAAATGTCTATAAATATAAGTCATCCTATAAAATAATTGCCTGATTGTGGAAATGTCTGCACTAAACTTTATTCAAAGGTTGGTAAATTCTAACTAGTAGTATCAATAGTTATAATGGAGATATATTTATTTGTTTGATAGTTATAAATGAGATATATTTATTTGTTATAAATTTAATTGTAATATAATTTATATACAACAATATTTTTAATATCATAAATTAAATATTTATTTTGTATAATATATAAGTTAATATTAAATTCATATATATATAATTTAAATTAATTATTATAATATTTTTTGTATTTTAGTTTTAAAAATATTATTTTAAAAATAAATTAAATTATTATTTTAATTTAAAAATTAAATTTAAGATATTTTTAATATTTAATATCTTATTATTATTTGCTCTTTATAAATAACATGTATGAATAAAATAAAATTAAAATTCCTCTTCATAAATCTCTTACCTTTTTAAAATATATTTTCAAAATACAAAAAGCAACACTAATATTTCTTAAATAAAAGCAAGAAGTTGTATATTTATCCCTAACCCAATTAGGGATTTAAAATAGAAAAGAATCCCTTGTTGACAACTCCACCAACACAAAATTTCATCAACACTCTCTCTCATCCCCAAGGCGCAGACAGGGATAGCGACTCCGAGCACCATCGTCACTGATCGAAGGAAAACTTCGGCGACGGAACTCGCCGTTGCCACTACCAACGTTTTAATAGGTCATCCTGCACTGCAACCTATTTCAGCTAAAAATCGGTATTTTCTGCTGTATCCATCATCATCATCATCTTCTTTTTAATTGTGCTCCTTTATTCGTTGTATTGAAATCCCATCATTTACATGCCTTGCTTTACTTCATTTTTTTTTATTAATCATCTTGGTTCGGGTTCCCCAATGTTGTGAGATGAGAGACAACACTTATTTTTTGGTGCGTTTTAGGGATCCAACATTTGATTGCTACTTTTTTCTGCCCTAAACTTTCTCTGGGATTGGGAATTTGAGATTCAATTTAAAATTGAGAAAGTTTTTTGCAGGGTTTTTCACTCAATAAGTACAAGCCGTTGAATACAAAAAGACATAATGGTGCTTGTGGTTGTGACCACGTGATTTTAGGTTATTTGAATGTTTGGTTTGAGAGGGCCTTGGGAACTTAGCAATGTCTGTAATATGTGATATGATAGTTTCGTTTTTGGCTTTTTGCTGCTTATTTGGTTTCTTTTCCCTTCCCAACACAAAGCAGCACAGCATCCTGGAGTTGTTACTTTGCTCTGTTTAAGGTTGTTCATTAAATTAACGTCTCATCACTATTGTTTTTTTCTTTTGCTTTTGGGTAATATGGTCAGACAATCAAATGGATTTGGAGACTGAAAACAGATTAGCCGCTATCCTTATGAGGGAAGCAGCAGAACTACGGCGACAGTCTGAAAAGGAAGGTGTTCTGGCTTATCTTCGAAAGCCTGACGTACGAACTCGGCCAAATTCGCGATTCCTCACTGCTACTGTACGTGGAGTTCAACAAGGTTATTTCTAGTCACATATTTTAGATAGAGCTTCATTACTATTGCCCTATATTGGCTTGTGTTTTCTGGTTGTGCTTCTGAGAAAAGTTTTGTCAGTTGTGTTGGAATAAGGAAATGATATTTATTTTTACTGTTTCACAGTTTGATTATTGTATCAATAGCCTGTCTTTCAATTGATCTTTTTTGTGAGTGCTGGATATACTCATGAGTTTAAAACAATTCTTATTCAATTTTTATTTTTGGGGGTGACGGTGGTTAGGATGTAGAAGGAGGGAAACAACTTACTGTTCCTACTGGTGACTCATGGCCAGTGTTATCAATGGCGGAAGGACAAAATTCCTTGGTATAACCACACCATTGCGGCCTATTGTGCCATAGCAGCCCTCCCTTCACAATTTGCCTATGGTGATTGGCAAAAAGTCTGCCATGTTTTCCATGGCACCACCATTTAAGTACAATGCTCATGACTTAGATGGGAATTGGACATGCAGATTTGTTAGTGTGATTTAGGGTGGTATAGCTATTGTTGGAAGGAAAGGGAAGAGAGGGAATTTTTTATTTCTATTGAATATTCTTTAATTTGCCAATTTTTTAAAAAATGAAAGAAATAAAATGATACATTTGCGTAAACTTATGAGGCTAGAGGATGGTTACGTTGAGGGCATGGAACCTGCTAGAGGGCTGTTTGGTCACTGAGTGGTGCAGATACTTTTTGGCTGGAAATATTAATGCAGAGCATTTTTGGATCTGGAAATATTGCTAATACATTATAATAATATGCCTTGGTGATAATCAAAACTATCAGAACATAAAGTGTAAAAGAGCCTTGCAAAATTATAAGTTAATGTTAGCTTTGACAAACTCCCTATATTCATTCTCCTTTTTCTCTGCATAAACACATGGGAAGAAAACTAGAAAAGAATGCAAGGATACCCAATATTTTTCCTTTGCTGGGTGTTAATAGGTACATGAAAAATTATACGAGACAATCATTTATAAAATTAGTATATTATAATTCATCTATCCATATATTTTTGGTTACACTTTATCTATCCATATTGTGTGTAATATTTAATTTTGATTTTTTATTTATTTAGTATGAACTTTGAGATCAAGATTTAATTACATGTTGTTCCTACTTTGTTAAATAGGTAGACTACAATAAAATTTATTTCAGTGGTCAAACTCACTGATGATTGAATGGTAGTGCAATTTATTTTGGCTAACAAAGGTTTAGGTGAATTGTTTATTGGGCAATGTTTTTAAATAACCATTACAGCACTGCCATAGCATTTTTTTTACCCTTCCGGTATAAGCAATTTGTTAAGAGAGGTCCTCTATGGTAGTGCCGTAGGCTGCATTGGCATGTTTCTATGGCTGTATTATGGCTTTCTGTCATATATTCTGCCATTCATATTTAACCTTGATCTTGGTAGTTCTCCAGGGTAAAAGGGTATGCCTCAAGTTTTGAATAGCGTGACACTGAGGCTCATGAGTCATGACTACCTCACCCAAGTTGAATATTGAAATTAATTCCATTTCTTTATGTTTTGGTGACAGACAAATCACCATCCTCGTCATCCTCTCTTTTTGAATGTTTTACGTCTAATACATTTGTTGAGCTGATAGTTTATTATTAATTATACTGAAGTTCTTCTGGTGTTCTCTGTCAGCAAATCGAGCTGTGGAAGTGAATGAGATGTGGCGATTGCGGCAAAAAGAACTGGAGCTTGATAAACGGATTAAAGAAAAATCAAACGATAAAAGAAGTAGAGAAAGAAGCCATAGGGATGATAACTCATCAAGGGGCACAGGAAGACATGCTGGAATTATTAACAGCACTAGGTTCTCTGCCTCACGTTCAAGTAAAAGAGAATATGAGCTGGATAAACGGGTTAAAGACACACCAAAAGATAAAAGCACCGGTGACAGAAGTCATAAGGACGATTACTCGTCAAGAAGCCCAGGACGACATGCTGTCGCGGATAAAAGCCATAGTACCTATACTTCATGCTCTAGCGAAAGAGAATACGAGCATGGTGTGGAAGGTTTAAAGGATGAAGAGCTTGAAGAGTTTCTACACTCAAGGTCTTATATCTCTCTTATGCCTTCTGTAGTTTTATGTGCGTACATACTCTCCTATAATATGTATTATTGTTTTTTTTAGAGAACTAAAGTAACTCCATTTTTGTATAGGACCAAACGAGGCAGAGGTGCTGTTGGTTCAAGGATGGATGAGACTGGACCTTACCTTCCTCCTGATTCAGACGGGGAGCCTGGTACTAGTCCTTCAGACGGGGAGCCTGGTACTAGTCCGGATATAAGGGATCGCCGTGTTATTTTATGTCCGGAGAAGCCCTTGTCATTGAGATCATATGAATCTTCTGATGAAGAGGAGCTTCATGAAGAAAAACGGAAAAAGAGTAAAAAGTCTCACTCTAGGAGCTCGGACAAGGAGCATTCTAAGAGGCGAAAGTCCAACGATAAATCTAGGCATAAGAACAAGAAAAGAGAGGAGAAAAGAAGTAAACGTCATAAGTAAAGTTCTTATGTAACTTTATATTCTCAGACGAAGGTTGTAACTAGCGGATACAGTCAATTTGGATGAAACTTATGTTTGTACTTTGCACAGATAATTTTATGTAAACATCAAATGCAAATCCAATTACTTCGGCCACATAAAAGGTTACTCATAACTATCAAACATTTTAAACTTCAGCTTGGGGTGTAGATCTCGCGCCGATTATGTTTCTTAATCTTTCATCAACTGGTCAATCTCACTGACATGAATATCATGTTGATTTTCATCAATACCTTAAAATTACAGCACCGTCTACCATCACGGGTCTTCAAACTTCCCCACAATTAATAACCAGAAATTATGTGACATGTAGAAAATTCAGTGATGGCACATTTTTCAAGTGTAAGATGACACACATATCCACTTTTATGTTGTACCAAAAAAGAGTAAATTTCTTTTAAATATGACGTGGGGGAAAAAAAAGGGTCCAAAGTCCTTCAAGGCTATTCCGGACCTGCAAATGTCGATGACATTTCAACTCTCGTTTGGCTTCCCCGTACTACTAATAACTAATAAAAAATATATTAGAATATTTCCACTACTTATAAACAACACATTAAAATTCTTATTTAAATAAGATTTAGTATCTCATATTATTTTTAAGCAATTCATATTAAATTTTTATAAAATTTATTCTAAATAATTTTATAAGTTATAATTTTTTATTTATACTTCATCTTTTGACAATTTAAAAATAATTTAATTATAATTAATATTAATTTAATATAATATTTTAACATAAAAAAAGTAATTAAAAAATTCACATATTTATTTTAGTATATTAGTACGTATAAAAATATTATCTAGAAGTTTTTTTTTTAAATGAAAAGGAAGATAACATGATGATAAATTTATAGAAGGTTTTAAACTTTTATAAAAGATTAAAAAAGTTTTTAAAATTTTATAAAACTAATTTCTTGAAAAATTATAAGATCAAATTAAAATTAAACTAATTTTATATCAATTAAAAAAATATTATATAACATTATTATAATATTATTGTTATTTTATAAACAACATAGAAATATAAATGTTTCTATGTTCCTATCCTCGAATAAAATTAACATAACAAATTTTTGAATTTATTTTATTTTAATAAATATGATTTGAGAAATTGATTTTAAAAGTATTTAAGAATATTTTGGTAAAATATTTTTATATGTTTCTTATATTTTTAAATAAATGTACTTAGAAACAAAATTACTAAAATTTTTGGAATTCTCGTTATATCAACTTGAATCCTAGGATATATGTATTTGTTTTTTTTTTTTTTAATTAAGGAACTGCATTAACACCAGTCTTACAAATGATCTTTCAATTGTTTCATATAAAAAGTAAAGGGTTTAGGGTTTGAAGAGTAATTATTAGCTGTTAAAAAGTGAAAGACTAATATACATGATTCATATAAAATCATTGTCACAAGTATTCAAAATGATGATCTGTCTCATCAAAGATCTCCACCTACAAAAGTAATATTGTCCTCAATTCAAGATTCCTAGAGCAAATAAAATTGTTCAGAGTGATCTTAATCAATCTAGTACCTGTAAAAGCTCTTCAATGACATCCTCTATCGTAATTATTCCTACAGCTTCTTTTTCTAGCAGCTTTGGGAGAGAATTTCCATCTATTTCCAAAATTTCCGAGTACATATTTTTTGACCGTTTATGTGAGTTTGGCAAGCTTTTCCATTTATGGCGTGACATCTTGGTTTTCGACCTATTCTCTTGGGGAGGCTTATCACCATCAATATTCACCTTCACTTCTCTCACTAAGTTTCACAGCCATTAATATGAGAGACAAGGAGCACTTATTGTGATACGTGAAAGAAGTGTTCAGTCTTAAAGAGAAAATCTAAATAAAATGTTAGCAGAACTTAGCTTCAATACACCATGTGCTTACCATAGGCGTTACTGTTTGAAGGTTGTTGTTCTGTCTTGTCACAGTTTTTGACAACAACAGCCATGTGGCTATGACCCTTTTGGAACTCATTCAAAATATCATACAGTGGCATCGATTCTGGAATCCTGTTAATTATATAAATTTCAGATATTAATGCTTGTTAATACTAATGCCATTAGTTTCAGTGTTTATGTTTTTCAAGTTAAATTAAACTTGCAAAACATAAAACAAAAATACCTTGGAATTCCGCGTAAGGTCACACTTTTCACGGGTGCTTCATCTTCTGGGTCAATTGTCAATAAATTCTTGACCTGAAAGTTAGAAGTGTATATGCTTAAAACTAAAGCAAACTTAATTTAAAATCATAAATAATCCCTCTTGGAATGTAGTTGATATGCAAGTTGAATCTCAATGACATTCATAAAAAATTATAGTGTGGATTTACGTTGTCACTTTAATGCAAAATGGATGTTATTGATAGATTAAAGAACAACAACAGACTGCATGCATACCAGGATTAGTCCAATAATATTTGTAGGCTGCTCATAATAGACAGGGACTCTGCTGTGCCCATTCACCAATATCAAATTCATCAGATACCTGTTAATAATAACCCTTGATGACAGATTACAGTACAAAGTACAACTGATAATTTTTTGGGACACCTTATGTCCTTACCTATCAAGCTTTGAATTAATATCAACACAAAATGTTTCGGTTATGTGAGTCATGGCATCACTGGCGATCTTCTCAGCAAGTTCCAGTGCCCCAGCAATGATGGTTGTTTCATGATGTGTCAGTTCCCCACCTTTTCCAGCCTAACACAGTTCATCATAAGTGCTCAAATGGAGTCTAATAACTGAGAAAGCAAGAAACAATCTGACATTCAACAATAAGGTGCAGGGTTATTCAAGTCTGCTTGACAAAATCAAATTCACATTTTGTCAATGGCTTTCCACTAAAAGAAGTGCAGACAGATCCTGTTCTTTTGTTTAAGCATGTTTGCATAATATGGCATGAAATATTCGAGCGTATTTTGTGTTAGGTTGCTTTGTGGGTGATTTGGTTCCCTTGGATACATTTTCATTGTGATAAGGGTATGACATGATTAATTAGGAGGTCCCCCTGTACGGTTTTTCTTTGTTTTAGTATGTGGTGCTGTGACAAAGTTACATGGATAATTTTTGTAGTTTCTTGACTTACACTCTATTTCTTGTATCTTTATTGGCATCTCTGGTTCCTATTTAATATTAATTATCTCTTTCAAAAGAAAAATGGGGTCTAAATTACTAGAAGAGAAGAAGATAACCCTCAGTTACATTATTCACATTGGAAAAGAAATGGTAGTGAACTGCAGCAGACTGTTGAAATAAATGAATAGCACTGAAGACAATTTCCCCAGTTTCAAGAGAAAATGAACAAACAAACTTAAAAATTATAAATGCATGCCTTTGTTTCAATCCAAGGCATCATGACAGACCTCGTGGCCATGCAGATTTACAAGTGTTTTCAACTCAGCTCTGTGGAAAAGGGCTTCATGTCGATGCCCCAGCAAGAAGTCCAACAACTGGAGTACCAAATAAATGCATAAAAAGTCAAGAAGGAAAAGAAAATCATGGATAACAAATTAAATTTGTCACCTTACTAATTGGATAAGCAACAGGAAAACATATCCATACAAGAACACGGACACCTGGAGCCACTGTTGCACCAATTGCTAAACCATACCGAGAACAAATTGATTGGGGTATAATCTTCTCAGAAGTAAGCAGATGTTAGAGAATATTACATAAGTTGAATAACTGCATGCCAAGATTTCCTATAAAATATTGTGTAAAAATATGTGCCGGAAAGATGCAATCCAGCAGGGTTAGGACTGCCATCACTACCAAAGATATCATTAAGAAGATTCGATGTGCAAGTAGGAAGTATGATTTACAAACATTAACTACTTCTCACGATTTGTTGAGTTTTTCTACTTGAATGAATCATGGTTGAAGTCTTGAGGATGAGCTTCTGACTTTCACAGACACATTGTGTCAAAAGGGATGTGTTTCCTTAGTTGAAACTGTGATTTGTATGCATTGCATTTGTTTTAACATATTTGTAAGAAAAAAAATTCTCACCTCACCGAACAGAAGAATTAATGTCACCGAAATTAGGATAGCACCCCACCAAACAACAAGACTATTCAGAAAAACTGGAAGTGCCTGACAAAACCAACACCATTATCCAAAATTGGCTGGATCTCACTGTGCATCCATGTGATTAAGTGCACACTAACACATGATTTTAGTTGTACCTCCATGGCAATCGCATTGCAAATTAGGAGGGTGCAAAGCAATAGATGTTGATTCTTGATAACAGGCAATATCTTTGCTGTAATGACAAAACACAAGTTCAAACAACCTGAGATTTATACAGCAAATTTAGAAAGCAAACTTATGTTAGTTTTAGAATTCAACAAGAAAATGCTGTGGTTTAATAAACATGTCCATAAATTACTTACAGGAAAAGAAAACAAAAAGATAAAATGCATTGACCTTCCCCGTATGTTATAATCAACTTATGCTGAGAACTTTATCCCAGTGTTGTAAGAAACTACAAGTTGGGAATCACATGTAGACATCCAATATGACCAAAATAGTATGTAAAAATGGACAAACAACCTAGCATTCAGGAAAGAGTTAGATCTAAATTGGAATTCTAAAGACTATGCAACTAGTACGTAAAGGTACAATGCTAAAAACCAAAATAGATTACAATGATTTCAACTCTAATTTTCAATACATGACTTAAACTTCTAACCAACTGATTAAGAACTCATGTTTAGGTTATGGTGAGTTTCCACAAGGCAAGGAGAGAAATTACCAGCATTGCTGCGATCCTGAGGGGTTCCAGACTTAGCAAGCACCTCAAGATCAACGCGACTCAAGGACATGAGGCCTAAAGTGAGCCCTGACATCAATCCAGCGAACATCACGAGCAGCACAATTATGAGTATGCGTTTTGAAAACTCTATATCACAGCACTTATACTGCACTGCCATTGAAACCACTCAACACACAAATACACACTCCTGGTTGTTGTTGTCAAATGTGTTGTTATAAATGTTTGATTGGGAGGGATCGTGATCATGATCATTGTGATGGTCAATTGGTCATCGGTAATGTAGCTGTGAAGGGTGGGGACCCACATCAAACCAATTAAAGTGTTCTTGCGTTGGAAATGCCCATGCTAGAAGAAGAATTGTTATCTGGAATGGTATTTCTTGATTCTTATTCTGCTTCCCTTCGGTTAAACATATGACCCACCACTACTTGCCGGTTCCAACAGGACATTTCAAATATGGTACGTGTTTTTCTAAGAAAATGTTAACACCACTGAGGTAAATCCATTGATACAAAAAAATCATGATAATTGGTTAACTCGTTCAATTTTGAGCTTAAAAGTATCGCATCAAATTATCAAGTGCTTTCTTCTATTATTAAAATAGATACAATTGTCTCCAAATTTTGTTTTAAACGTTTGTCCTCATACACAGTTAAGTTCAATTACTCCATCATCAAACTGCATAATAACTTATTCATGTATTTAAGAAGATTCTTTAATATTTGGGTTTGAGTCAATTTAATCTCACAAAATTAAATTTTAAGATATAGATTGTCTTTCATGTATATATTTTAATTTGATTATATTGTTAGTAGATTTTAAATTTTAACACACTTTTTCTGCTTAGAAAGAAACATCTCAAATGTAAAATTTATAAGACTAGATATTTATAACTTGAGTTTTGGAGTATAGTTGGACCAATTTTTTCATAGGGATTTCTGAGAATAAAACTATGAAGAAAAAGATAACATTAACATTTTTATAAATTAAATTAATTTCTATATCAATTAAAATTATGGATGATTAAATAGTAGATACTTAAAATATTGAGTCTCCTTGTTTCAACTTAAATTTTATCCATGAATCTATTGTAAAAAAAAAAATTAAGTTAAATTAATTAATTCACAAGTACACTTTTTAAACGGATGCAATTATGTATTTATTGTAAAAATGTCATTTCAAAATTAAAATTAATTAACTCGATTACATTTTTTTCAATTACATAGCTTGGAACCTCACTTTGAAACGTGCATATACAAAATGTTTTATTTTAAACAAACAAAATGAATAGCTTTCGTAAATCGTTCCTTCATATTTATTTTACTGACATGTAAAAAATTATTTATTTTCTATTTATTTCTTAAAAATATTTTAATCACCTTCTTTTAATTCTTTAATAATTTGATTTTTCTTATTTATTTATTTTGTTTATGTTACCATTAATTGCTTTATAGAGTAATTTAATAAGTTGAATTGTTAAAACTAACATAATTTTTTATCCATATAAGCTTATACAATTAAATTTAAAGTAACCATGTTTAAATGAATTAAAAATGCTGAAGTTTAACCTCACCCTCAACGAATCAGAAATTTGCTTTTATTTTCACAAACCTAATTATTTTTCTTAAATCAAATGATTTACGGTAACTCCTTATCAAGCTATATTTGTATTTTTTTTTAATTATGTTGTTTTCAACTTTTAATTTTAAAAATCACATTATTCTATTGTGATTAATATTTTAATTTCCAAAGACGCGTGTCTTTGTCCTTTTGTATGTGTATTCTAATTTATTTCATTTAAACAATTGAATTTATTTAAAATTAGTAATCAACATTGCTTACCACAAATAATTGAAAACTTCATTTTCCACAACAAAAAATTGTCGCGAAGCACTGTACTAATGTAATGGAAACAAAAGAAGAAGACAAAAGCAATTTAATAATTTTAAGAAAATATAATTATTTTAGAAAGTATCGTCACCTTGATCACCACATGTAAAATATAATTTCTTACCCAAATTTCAACTTTTTTAATAAAAAAAAAAATCACGGTTATCTGTTCATTTTTTTCTTCTTCGTTTTACACATGATTATGTTTAAATCGTATTTTAAAATTTTTGTGTTGGATCAAATCAAACATAGATTCATCATCTATCTTAAAATTAAAGTTACTTTGAATAATTTTTATTTTTCATATAAAAAATATAAATATTTTTTTATTTCTCATATGATCATATCAAACATAAATTCATCATCTACGTACGTCAAAACTAATTAACATTAATTCGACAAGGAATGCATGTCGTCGCATAGTGCGATTGTTGCCATGCTCCACTCTGTATTACACCAAATCCACTGATGTTCATACACAAAAACATAAAGAAAAAGGAAGATAAATTTTGATGTAAACGTAATAGCAAAAATAGATTCTCCCATGGATAAGGGCTTGTCACGTTCTAATCACATTAATTACACCCACCAACAGTTCTTATGATTATGCAATGAAATCATATACGAATTTAAGATAAGTAGGTGAAACTAAGGTGAAATACTAATCTATAACTAGTCATATGGAAGGATCATTGTCATGAGTCTTCAAAGTGATGATCAGTCTCATCAAAGATCTCCTCCTACAAAGACATATTGATGTTAACACAAGATTTCAAGAGCAAAAAGAAAAATTGTTCAGTGACCTTAATGAATATAGTACCTGTAAAAGCTCTTCAATGACATCTTCCATTGTAATAATTCCAACAGCTTCTTCTTTTTCTGGCAGTGTTGGAAGTGTATTTTCATCTATTTCCAGAATATCTGAGTACATATTTTTTGACCATTTTCTGCACCTGGAACTACCCCTGTTGGAATTATTTGAGTTTGGAAAGCTCTTCCACTTTTGGAGTGACCTCTTGGTTTTCAACTTATTATTCTCTCGGGGAGTCTTCTCCCCATCAATATCTACCTTCACATCTCTCACTGAGCTCATTTCACATGCATTACAGAGAAAGGGACCATTTATTATGATGTGAAAGAAATTCTAAATATATAAAGTTAATTCGCCAGCATTATTTGGAATTTCTGAGGGAGGAGTCAAATTATCTTCAATATCAATCAAGGGAATAAACCCCTGTTCTATGTGTATGAATATATGTATAAATTCAGATATAATAGTGATAAACCAATTACTAATATTCATAAATTATTAAGATTCATGTAAGGAGTTGATCTCTTTTAGTATATGATGCATTTATGTAAATCCAATTCTGATAAAATATTTAAAGAATACAGTTAATACTAATAATTTGGCTCCACTAAAAATGTTTTTACTTATTTTTCTACATAGTTGAATTTCATGGACATCACATTATATGTAGGTAAATAGTTTAACCTAATTTGAGTATATGATTACCATTGTCATTATTATTGATGGAAGACTGTTGGCCTGTCTTGTCAGAATGTCTGACAACAACAGCCATGTGGCTATGGCCCTTCTGGAACTCATTCAAAATATCATACAGTGGCATCGTTTCTGGAACCCTGTTATTATATGTAATGTAATTTCAGTGGTTATAACATGTCATCCATAAAACTTGCAAAGCATAAACAGAATAATACCTTGGGATTCTCCGTATGGTCACACTTTTCACGGGTACCTCTTCTTCTGGGTCAATTGTCAGTAAATTCTTGACCTGAAAGTAAGATGTTTGCATGCTTTAAGTTAAAGCAAATGCAATGAATCTTAAGAAGTTTCTAATAATCGTCTTGGAAACAAAATGAACATATTGAAGCTCAGAGAAATTGGTTAAAACTGTTTGTTTGAAGTTTATACAAAAAATTTTCACATATCGGAAAATGGCTGTTTAATATTGAAGGATTAAAGAAAAATAAGAGACTGTATACAAACCAAGATAAGTCCAACAATATTTGTACGCTCCTCGTAGTAGACAGGGACTCTGCTATGCCCTTTCTCCAATATTAGATTCATCAATTCCCTGCTTAATAGCAAACATTCGGTTTGATGACATGGTGTATAAGATACAAAAGCTAGTTTGCAATTTGAAATTTTGTTTAGTCACATTTACCTATCGAGCTTTGAATTAATATCAATAGAAAATATTTCAGTTATGGGAGTCATGGCATCACTGGCTGTCTTCTCAGTGAGTTCAAGTGCTCCAGCAATGATTGTTGTTTCATCATGTGTCAGTTCTCCACCTTTTCCAGCCTAATAATATAATAAAATTCATCATGAAACAACAACTTAAAGAAGGAGGCATGACTGTCAACCACAAAAGAATATAAGATATTCTCACAGTATTGGAACTAAAAGATAGTAAATTGCAGCATATTAATGAAGTAACAAGATGAGCCCCGACAATTACAAGTCTTCAACTTCAAGAGAAAATGAATCAATATATTTATAATAATTATACGCATGCAAAATAAAAACTATAATTTTCTAATACAGACCTCATTTCCATGCAGATTTACAAGTGTTTTCAACTCAGCTCTGCGGAAAAGTGCTTCATGTCGATGCCCCAGCAAATAGTCCAACAACTGGAACACCAAATAAAAGGAAAAAAAAAAAAACTAAAAAATAAATTCGTTCCATGCTTACTCAAACTCTACCAACTAAAAGTAACTAATAATTGTATGTCACCTTGCTAATTGGATAGGCAACAGGAAAACATATCCATACAAGAACACGGACAACTGGGGCCACAGTTGCACCAATTGCTAAACCATACCGAGAACAAATTGATTGTGGTATAATCTACACACAAGTAAACACATGTCAGAAAAATTTTGCACTGCAAGCAGAGTAACCAAGCCCAAAGATATGCGTAAGAGTTATATATCTAGTAAATATGTGCTATAAATGCAGCATTCCGAGAGTTGGGACCACTATGGTTGAATTCACACATCCACGACTACATATATGATTAAATTGTAATATATAACTAAATTACAATATATAATTTGAACATATATGTGCTTATAAATATTCCCTAAAAACAAGGATCTCCAATTTCAACATTATCCTAGTAAAGATATCATTACAAAGATTGGAAAAAGACCATAACAAATCCAGTTTAAAAAACAGATCAACCACTTCTATTGATCTGGTCCGAATTATTTCCACTATTGAAGGAATCAAGACTGAACATGCTTCTGACTTTCTCAATCAGTTTTTCTAAAAAGGTATTTAGTGTACTCAGATTCTAACATGTGGTATACATGTGTTTTTTATAACATTATAAGGAGAAGGAACATTCTTACCTCACCAAACAGGAGAATTAATGTTACAGAAATCAGGATAGCACCCCATGCAACAACAAGACTATCGAGAAAGATAGGAAGTGCCTGACAAAAGTAACACCCATATCCAATATTAGCTGCATCTTTTGGTATAACCATTTGATTTTTATTTATTTTTCGTGTCTGTGTGATCAAAGGGGCCTAACCATTTGATTAAATACACACCAACACATGATTTTAGTTCTACCTCCATGGCTGCAGCGTTGCAAATTAGAAGGGTGCAAAGCAACAAATGTTGATTTCTGACAACAGGCAATATCTTCGCTGTAACGACAAAAAGGCACAAATTAAAATAGCTCCAGATTCAATAATAACGTACATAAAATTGTTATTTCTATTTCTTCAGTGACAGCTTTCTCAGATTCGGAATAGCACTCAGTATCTCAGTAGCTTTGGAAGGGAAAGACTTAAATTATGATTAAAAAACTACCATCACGTACTCGTATAAATCCAAGAAATTAATTTTAAAACTACAAACCACCAAGCATCCTTGACTTCATGTTCTGCCTTGCTTATTATTCTTCCCTCCGAATATTAAAGTGTCACTTGAAGAAAGCTGATTAAACCGACCTTGTTTCAGTTTTTTAATTCAGGTAAAAACTATAGTTGGAATGTTCTAAACTCTAATTTAAGTCAATGGTTTAAACTTATTTTAACAATAAACATAAATCTCAGAACTAATGCATGTTTTGATTATGATGAGAAATACCAGCATGTTTGCGATCCTGAGGGGTGCCAGATTTAGCAAGAACCTCAAGATCGACAAGACTCAAGGACATGAGTCCTAAAGTGAGCCCTGACATCAATCCAGCAAACAACACAAGGAGCACAATTATCAGTAACCGAATGAAAAACTGAGTTTCACAGCACTCATACTCCACCGCCATTGAATCCACTCCTCCAACTGGTTGTTTTTGATGATGATGCCCTTATGTCTCAATCCTAGCAAGAGTTAGAGCAACACCTCCATAACTATAAAGGGTGGCAAGTTATGTTGCAAAGATGGTTTTGTTTGACAAATGGAATGCGATTTAAGGGGGAGGAGTGTTGGGCTTGTTTAAGAGTGGTTTTTCCCAAAAGAAGACTATTGACAAATATACGTTAGCGTTGCTAAAACACAACACTCTGTGGTCGGTGAGAGATCATAGTCACCGAATCGATAATTTAGCTTGCGAGAGGAGGGACCCACCAAAGCACAAGATGGTATTTGTATTTTAATAAAGATGCCATGTGTTCTTGCGTTGGATAATGCCCTTTACTACTCATGGAGACACAATAAAAATACGCGATTGTTCCTGCTTCTTATTCTTATTCTGTTTCCTTTCGGTAAAGGAAAAGGAAAATTAATGTTCCTCCTTCCCACTACTAGTTGGAAAGAAGACATATAAAGCGAATCGGTGAACCAGACATTTCTGACATTTTAACAGTGGAACAAGAGGCAGGGGATGCTTCCTTCTTTTGTCCATTTCTTCATTTTTTTCTTCTATGGAAAAGCTTGTTTGAAATGTTTCTTGGTTTTGATTTACTTAAGGGGTGGATAGAGTAGAGTTATTCAATTTGGAGTATGGAATTTGAACTTGGCTGCAATTGAGTTAAGGGGATTTGACTATGATACTTATTTTAATTTTTTTCCTTTTAAAAAGGTGTTTCTTTCAATTGAAAAACATGTTTGAAATTTGATGAGAATACTTAATACATACATATTTCAAACATACAATTAATACTATTTAAGTCTAGTATAATTGTGAAAAATATATAAATTTTTTTCTAAATGAGTAATATATATATATATATATATATATATATGTATGTATGTATATTAATAAAATCATAAAAAAATATTACACGAGAAACCAATGTAAAAAGTGAATTTTTTTGGATCTCCCGTAAATCAATTTTAGAAGTGCTGTTCATTATTAACAAATTATAAATCATATATATTTAAATTAATGTAAATACTTGTTGTAAAAATTATTTTTTTATTGTAGATATAATAGAGGTAAGTCATACATTTTAATTAATTTTTTTATAAATAAAAAAACAAATAATTAAAAATATTAAATAAAAAACATTTTATATTATATATATATATATTACTATTTATTAATATTATTTTATTAAATCCAAAATTATTGATAAATATTTATTGTGGTTGCGTCACATAGATATTAGTGATATTTGTTACGTTAGTTGATATCACAATCCAATTCAATAAAAATATAAGTTAAATTTTTTAATTTAATTATTTAATTTATTTCTATTGAATAAATTTAAATAAGTTGGATTTAGGACTATTAAAATAAGTGTTCCGATCTATATGATATAATGGTCAAAGAAAAGAAATTGGATGAAAACCTATATTTAAAATCGGTTCATAATTTTAATCGAATTTAGTCTTTATGTTAGTTAATAGGCTAATTTCAATATAATTAAAAAAATCATTAACGTATTTATATTAAAATAATTAATTTAAAAAATATTTAAATAAATAAATAAAAATATATTTTTAAAATTTAAATTATATTAATAATAATTTTTTTTATTTAAGATTTAATAATTTAATATATAAATTATAAAAAAATATATACATTTAATTTTAGAATAAAAGTTAAAAATTTATTTTTTATTATTATAAATAAATTTTTAATAATTTATTGATATAAAATAATAATTAATTTTAATTATTAAATATAAAATAGATTATTATTATTATTAGAAATTTATTTTAAGATATATATATATATAATAAAATAATATTATTTTTTTTATTAAAATATTATTATTATTATATAAATTGAAGGAATTAAATAAAAATAAGTTTGATTTAATTTAGGTTATAATTTTTTCAGTATAGTTTAATTTATTTTTTAGATTTTTTAAATTATTTTATTGAGTTAAACCTATTTTAATATTTAGATTACGAAATTTTTAATTTTTAATTTAAAATTTAATTTAGTATAATTCAACTAAAATTACAAAATAATAATAATAATATTATTATTATTATTATTATTTTATTAATTAAATATATATTTTAAATATTAATTAATGGCAAATGATGTTTCTAAAAATTCAAAAAATATTGAAATTAAAAAATTAAATAAATAATATTTTTACAAATTGTGATACTTTTGATTTAACTTGAATTGGATTAAGTCTATAAAAAAATCAACTTAGAAATAATTTGTCATCGTAATTGATATGGTAAAAAAAATTAAGTTGTTTGGTTGAACATCTCTTATGTATAAATAAAAATAAAAAGAATAATGGGAATGACTTTTTAACTCTATAGTGTAATTCATGTTTCGTATGAGAAAATACTTAAGTTATCCCCATTTGATAACACATATCTAACGTAATAAGATGTTAAAAGAGAGATGTGTGGGTAATGAAAAGTTAAATTTTTAATTAATTAAATGAATTTATAAGCAGCCAAATCATTTTATTGAAGAAAAAAAATAGTGATTTAATAAACTATTCAAATCTACACACAAAAATAAATAAATGAATCTGTAGTACAACAAGAAAATCTTCTTACATCACGATAACTTCTACGTATCATATATTTTAAAAATTATATCACCAATAATTTATAATAAAAAGTGTTTCCATTTAATTAATTGTTGACCTAAAAACATATTAATCTTAAATTTTTATATTAAATTTGATCACATTTATAAAATATAATCAAATTATTATTATTTTTTAAGTTTGTAATCAATAAATGAATTTTGAAATAAAATTATTCAATAAAAACATTAAACAGTGTAAAATATAACAAAAAAAATTATTTATCTTTCATAGAGTATTTGCTGCTGGTTATTTAACCCTTCTAGTTGGTCGATGACCTTTCAAATTTTAAAGAGTCAAATAACAAAATTGAAAATTTTAAATATTAAAGGATCAAAATGAATAATAACTTAAAATTATTTTATACTTAATAGTATTAATTAAAGAGTATTTTTTTTAATTTATATAAATTAAAATAAGAAATAAAAAAACACATGCAAATTAACTATCTTAATAATAATAATAATATAACGACAATTAAAAACTAAGTACTTGAAATCCAATGTATATAAGTAAAAAATTCGGAAGAAAATATTGTCTAATAAAAATATTAAGTAGGTAAAAATAAAAAAATTATATAAATATCATAAATAACATAACTTAGATGAAAAGTTAATAAATAAACAGTTAAATTATTTTTTATTTTTCTTTAATTTAAATTAATCAGTTTTACCTATAGTTTAAAATTGTTTAATTTAATTCTCTATTTTTTTAACTAATGTTTGATGTGTGTTCCATATAAATTAACACTGGTGATGCTAATGAAATCAGAAAAGGATAATAATATTTAATAATTTTAAATTTTAGATGATTAAATTAGTAATTTGAAATTAGAGACACCTAATTTGATGTTTTATACAAAATAATTAAAACAGTATAATTTAACTTATATATTTGTTTAATAAAGGATGATGTGAAGTTAAGTTATTATGTTGACTTTATTGAACTTGTTTTTGTAAATATATTATAAGCTCCATAGATAGTTTCACAACTTTATGTAATTAATAAAAAAAATTTATCTTTAGAATCAGTAATTCTCATAATTAAGAATCATTAAAATTTTCTACAAAAATCTTTAGGATTATACTTTTAGAATTACTAAAATTTTTGTTTAGTCAATAAAAAATATTACATAAAATAGTTATATAAATTTATAAAATTAAAAAAATAATATGTTATTTTTTAGATAATTAGATAAAAATAATATAATATTATTTAAACTTAAAAAAATTAGATTTTTCATCTCTGGTAGTAATAATGTATTTATGGAAACTTAATAAAAAAAATTATTGAAACATATTTTTTCTTTATAATTTTTTTAAAATAAAAAATAATTTCAAATTTCAAATTTTTTAATAAATAACAAATTCTCTCGTACCCTGAACTGCGTATAATGCATTCTTTATAATTCATGTTTTTTTACAGATGTAATACTTGACCACTTGTGTTAAATATATTTTTATTTTATTTTTTAAATATGTTATTATTATTATTATTTATATATTTCAAACGTGTTTTTTTTATATTTTATATTTTATAAAATGTGTTAGATGTAGCATTTGATTTTTCAGATTTATGAAAATAGAAATAATCCATGATATGTTTTATAAAAATGTAAAGGAAAGTGATTTCTTAAAGATATTAAAAGTGAACAATATTTTATTTTAGAGACTAAATATATTTAATTTTTTAAAAACCTTATATATAGTATTCAGATGAATTTCCTTGGAGAGACTCGTCCAGATCCATTAACTGTGGGATGATCCATTCATTCGTCCATTCATTAGGACCAAAATTCAACACAACAAATTTTCACGTTGTTGAGTGAAAAGAAATATTATTTAGATATATTAAATTTTAAAAGTAATAACCTAAATGAACATTTCTTTAAAATAAACTAAAGAGTCATAAATATTTTTATTCTGTACTAAATTGATTTTATTTCCTATTTTCTTTTTGTCTTCCTCTAACTCAATCAAACATATCAAATGGAATTTTGGAATATATAAAAAAATAAAAATAAAAATTGGAAAGATAACCCAAAATGTAGAAAATTATCCCAAGACAAATAAAATAAGAAAATATATTAATGCATGAATCCGAATCCACCCCTTTGAGTTGAGTCTCTTTCAGTCATAACAACAGAGGAAGAGCACACTGCACAGATCTGGGTGGTGACTGAAAGGATCTACCTTCTTTCATTTCTCATCTCTATTGTTAGGTAATCCCTTTTCTTAATCTTCCCTTTTCCCCACTTTGCTTCTCATGCACTCTATGTACTACATATCACACTTTTAATTCTCATTTGGACCTTTATCATTTTTCTTTATTTACTAACTTCACAGGTGTATAACTCACTCAATTAGATCTGTTGCGCACTTTTACTCCGTTTTAGCTTAACCCTTTCTTTGGGTTTAGTTCCACTGGATCGATTTGCTTTTACTTGTTGATTTTTTATTGTTTGAGTTCTGAAACTGGTGCTGTTTGTTTGTGCTTAAGTTTAGTGGAACTCTTTTGAAACAATTATGTTATGAGTGATGGGTTTGTTAAGTAGGGGTAACAACTTCCCACTTTATGTGTTCTATGGGAAGTGATATGAAACTTTAACAAAGAAGTTTGGCCATATGGAGTTTGATGGGATTGTTAGGCGAATTTTTCTGTGTAACTTTGGTATTTGTCACTGCAGAATATACTGTTTCCTTATGGTCACCACATTGTTTTAATTGGAAAACTGTGGAGATATGACACAAGATTCTTGTTGCAAGTGTGCTGTATCTTGTTTTGTATTAATAAATGGTCATGCTATATGGAGCCTTTTAGCATTTGTTATGTTATTTATTTCTCAACTAAAGTTAAATGGGTGGCCTTGGCTTCAAGAAAACTTATCTCTTTTGGAAAACAGCTTAGGCAGCAGATACTTACATTTTTACTTATTTGAAACAGCACAACTAAGCTTGTTTCCATAACTTGTGATAGGTCTGAAGGCTCATTGCCATTATCATGTCAAGGAGGCCAGTAAATCCTTCACGTCGGTTGGCTGATGATGGAAGTATACCATTTGTTGCATCTATCCAGTCTAAATCTCAAAGCTCCCCCCTCCTATCTATTGGGCTTGTAATTGTGGTATGTTTTCTTTGAAATATGTATCTCAATATTGAATAGTCTGATTTCATTTGATTTAATGTTCAATGTTTCTGTGTCCGATTGATGTAACCATGTGTGGTATTTTTCTATGACACTTTCTGCTCATTCTTCCCCTGTTCCTAACTCATTAAACAGTTTTCTTAATATACTTTATCCAGTATATTAGTCTCTTCTTGATGTCAACACATATTGTATTTAAAATCGATATTTACAATTTTTCAGGGTGCAATCTTCTTGATTGGTTATTGTTACAGCAGTTCAGGTTTGTACTTTGTCACTAATATGTTTACTTGAAGTCTAGAGCCCTCATAAAGAAAGAATTTATAATCAAATAAGAAAAGGATTCTGAATTTGTTGTAAAAAAAACATGGAATATAAATGAAATAAGTTGCCCAAGCAGTAGCAGAGAGAGCTAGAGGGAAAAAATGTAGTGTTTTATGGAGGTCACATTTTAAAAGTAAAAACTTATAAAAATTTCTTCATAAACATTCGTATTTGGAAAGAATTTTGAGGCAGTTAAAACCCCTCCATTGATTGTTTAAGTACGTGCTTCCCCTACCCATAAGCAAGCTGCACTCCAGTCAGGTTTAGAAGATAACACAAATCCTCTTCTGAAACTAGGCTAATTTCTTATTTTGTTTGATTTTATATCCACTAGATTTTGATGAATTAGTCAAACTCATCAAGGAAACTGTTTTAATTCCTCTATCACCTTATAAAATACAGTGAAGAGCTTTAATGCTAGTCAAGTCTTCATTAGAAATTAAACAAATACAAGCTAGATCGGCATGTTGATTAATACATAGTGTACCATCCTCATATATCCTAGTCATCTTGTCAATATATGAATTTTAGCAAGAAAATATTTGAATAAAATACAAAATAAAAGTGGCAGGCATCACTGCACGAACTAACAATGAAGATATTCTATTTCATGAACTTGCACTTGCTATAAAATTCTGTTGATACTGATATTGACTTTGATTTGTTTGGTCACATGGCAGGTGGAGCTAACAATGGAATTAAGGATTTTAGAAAACTTGAAGGTAAACAAAACTATCCTTATCCTGTTTTATATTTGAAAATGTTCTGATTGCTTAACATTTATCATATAAGGCAGCTTAGGAGAGTGTTTATATGAAACTAAAGTAAAGAATCTTTGAAATGTTTCATTTCCTTTAAATTTAGTTAGTCCTTTGTGTGTCCCCTTTATTTTTCAGTTCATTTATGTGTCTCCCTAAAAGCATGCACGTTTTTTTTTTGTCCTTGTGGTTTCATCCCATAACTTGCTTTTGAAGGTGGATAGTTCGGTTTAAAACTATAAAGTTATTGGTTGTTTTGCTATCATTATTGACATGTGAGTATAGAACCATAGATAGATTAGGCATCGTATTTTACCTTCAAATCTTCTATTAATAACTTCTGCTGGTTTTCAGAAACATGCTAATTTCCTTAAATTTGTATCCATTTTCATGTTCTCAACTAAAATCTGTATTGTGAAATTAATAATTGTTTTCTATTTTCTGTTTCCAAATCTCATCGGCTAAAATAGTTTTATTGACCATGTTTATAGTATCTGTGTACACCGTTGGCATAGCCTGATTCCCAAACAAGAGAAATTGTGACTACTTGGCTTTTACCATAATTATTTTGATCAGATCAATAGTGTAACTTTAAAGCCTTGCCATTTTGCAGTGGCTATTTCCGGTAAAGTCAAACACATAGAGAGTGGACCTTATGGTTTGCCTGACTTCAGTGAGGTAGTGTCCATCATTAGAGAGAGAAAAGTGGATAATATATAATGTGAGTCTCGACAGCATTGAGAAAGACCAGCAAAGAGCAAGTGGCTTGAAATTTTGGTTTTCCCATTTCCAATAAAAATAGAAAATACCTTCTATATAAATTTTTCTCTTAAACTCAATAAAATTATTTTTTTTAGAATTTTCTATATCTAGTGAAAATGGGAACAGAAAATGCAGAAACCAAATAGACTCTTTTTGTTGTCCTAAACATATGAGAAAATAAAGAATTGACCAGTTGATGATACTGTACTATATCTTATGACTGGTTTATACACTCTTCCGAAAACTATATGATACTGATATCATAACCGAATGTAAGACATTAACAACATCCTTTTGTACTATAAGTCAATACACATTCATTGACATTAAATATATAGAGTTGTTGATATCAAATTTTAAACAATTCTTAAAAGCTCTAGTGTAAATCTGCAGGTGGTGCATCATGCTCATCAGAAGTCCTACAGGCATTGCCCATTTTGAAGAAAGCATATGGAGACAGCTTGCATAAGGTTTTGCATGTTGGCCCTGACTCTTGTCCTGTGGTATCTAGTTTGTTAGAAGAAGAGGATACAGAAGCTTGGGGAATAGAACCGTATGAGTTAGATGATGTTAGTGATAAATGTAAAAGTCTTGTACGCAAGGGCATTGTGCGTGTGGCTGATATAAAGTTTCCTCTACCTTATCGAGCAAAGTCATTTTCTCTGGTCATTGTGTCAGATGCATTGGATTACTTATCTCCAAAATACCTGAATAAAACCCTGCCAGAGTTGGTGAGGGTATCTGCTGATGGTGTTGTTATCTTTTCAGGTACATTGCAACTTAGTATAAAACTGGATTTATCTTAGGCATTTGTTTTGGCATATGTACTTGGCTGATTTGGGTCATATTCACTAAGACCTAGGCAATCTAGTCATGATAAACTGATGATCTTAGCTGTTTTTTATTTTTGTCTACAAATCGTGCTCTTTTACTTTTATCATCCACAAGACAACAACTCATGTTAGTTGTGATAGAAAATTGAGTATTAATTCACTTGTGATTTCGTGCTCCTGAATTCTCATTTTCATGCATAGGTTATCCAGGTCAGCAGAGAACTAGAGGTGAAGAAGTGGCCAAATTTGGTCGTCCAGTAAGTGACAGCATTTTAGTGAACCTGATGCTTTTTTGACAACAAAACTGACTAATCTGCACCATCAACTTGATTGCAAAATTATCCATTCTGCATTTATTTTGGGCACTACAGAGAAGAAATCTATTGGTGGTGGTTAGTATAACTCACTGGATGGCAGGGTTACAAAAATCATTTTATTAGGACAAAAAAGATAGTAGATAGAGGACGTAGAAAGTTGTAGTCCTAGATTGAAGTAAAGGAAACTTGATGAGTAGAAAGAGAATGCTATTGTTAAATTTTTTGGTTTAATCATGTTTTTATTTCTTGAAATTTAGGATAAATCTACTTTCATCCCCTGAATTTAAAAAAGTTCATTTTAGTATCTCAAATTAAAAAAAAATGATTTTAGTCCTTAAACCCTAAATTTGAGGGATTCAAATGAATGTTTTTTAGAATTGTATTTAGTCTCAAATTTCAGGGTTATGAACTAAAACCATATTTTTTAAAAATTTTAAAGGATTAAAATGAATTATTTTAATTTGGGGGGCCAAAATTGGATTCAATCTAGATTCCTTGGACTAAAATATAATTAAACCTATTTTTAAATAGTTTGTGCCATCTTCCTCTCTATATTAGCATTAGGGGAATTATTAATTGAAACATGGTTTTTTTATACTTTTCAAGCCTTTAGAAGAAAAATGTAAGATTAGGAGAAAACTCTGAGCTGATTTTAGTTCAAAAGAGGGAAGTGACTGAGCTGGCGACAGATAGATTGGAGCCTTAGGCAATTTCAAATGAAATTAATTTGTGGAGCAACACATGTAGGAAGAATATAAACATAAATTTACTTGACAATTGTCATTACGTTCATATTGTCTTTTTTTTTTTTTTTTTTTTTTATGAATATGAACCTTGGGCAGTATTAAGTTACATGAACCCTTTACATATGCTAGTGAATAATGACCAAATCATTTTGATTTTCATAAATAATAATCAGTGTGGCCAAAACTTGGAAAACAAAATATTGGTCAGTAATACACTTCTTAAAATAATAACAAAGGACATAGCATATTGCAATGTTATGGTAAGTAATGGGAAGTTATTGACTTAGGTATTACCCCAAATAATGTCATTAATTGAGCTTCTCCCCTTTTGATTCTTTTTATGAAGGCCAAACTTCGCAGCTCCTCTTGGTGGATAAGGTTTTTTGTTCAGACCAGTTTAGATGAAAATGAAAGTGCTGGAAAGAAGTTTGAACAGGCTTCAGCCAAGAAGGCATACAAGCCAGCATGCCAAGTTTTTCACCTCAAATCATACCCTTGAAATCTCACTCTCCTATTTCTATACTCCACTTAATTTATGGTTACAAGGCATCCTGAGCACCCGAAGGGTAAAGTTTCATACATTATTCTGTTGAGTTGTAATCCCATGGTGACCACATAATTTAGATTCAATTATTATGTATTTTATTGCCAACCCATTGTAAACTATTTTTGTCTTCATAGTGTTCGACATGTTTTGTGCTCTCAACTGTTCTTTGTTTAGAACAAGTATTTACTGTTTAGGAAATTCACTGATTTGACACATTTATGGCTGTTACACTTAATTTTAATTTTACTTTATTAGCAAATGGTGTATTGTTTTATTCTTCTATAGTATGTAACGGGATATCATATTTGTTCCTCTCTTTACTGCAAAATTTCTTTTTCTGTGTATCTGGTTTTATTCTTATGTAGAATTTGTTGTTACCAAGGTTTACTACCAACACTTTTTTTATATGATTAAAATAGTAATTTTGAATTTTTTAAAATATATATAGATTGAATTTGCTCATTCTGTCTACGTTAAAAATTGTTACACTGTTGATCACATTGGGGTGACTCATAAATGAAATCATTTAATACTTTATTCAATAATCTTTTGCTTCTTGTTTATTAAAATGAAAATAGAGTGAAAAAAAATTGAAAAAAAAGAAGGTTGAGATATTTGGTTAAAGAAAAGTGAAATGAATATTTGTTTAGTTTGATCATTTACTTTCAGTTTTAATCAATTGTGAACATCTTTGCGGCGAAAGTTACTCCGTTAACTCTGTTTTTTCTTTCCTTTTTCATTGTCATTTCTAACGACTATGTTGATTTGTTACAGAAAAAATTAAACGAAAAATTAAACGAAAAATTAAATCCCTTATTACATTAATTGATTCTTAAAATACCAAATCACTATAGTTTATACTTTAATATAATTACAATTGAAAAATATTAACAAAGTTGATATATCGAATCACAAAAATCATAGACATTTCATATGTTGTAAAGCTTATAACGTAAAATCATACCTACCACATATATTAAATTTAGATTGTCAAGAAACGAAGTAACGTAGAGTATAGGATTCAAAATAGATCTTTAGAATGATTATTGTATGTTATATATGTTTTAATTCTTGTGACCTCGAATTGTTTCATATAAAAAAAATCAAATAGAATAGTTAAATAACATTTATTAAATTTAATATTAATATGGCATGTAACTGGTCATAAGATATTCAACATAACTACAAGACAATAATTGATAACTAATTTTTTTTCATGTCCATTATCGTATTATTCCATTGTAATATGGCTCAAATATGAAGTATGATCCAAAGCAAAAAAGAGAGCAAGAAAGTTCACGTGATCTTGTGACATTTGAGACCAAATTTTGACGTCTATAAAAAGGATTTTAGAGTTCCGAAATTTATGGGCAGAAGTGATGGAGAAGTAAGCATATGAAGTCTTGGTTTGGGTCCTATCTACATAACATAACATAACATGTGAACTTATCAATTACATGTGTATGTCATGGATTGCGATAGGTTTGAGTCAAACTTTTGATAAGAGACTTGGTCACATGCATGAGTGTACTGTTATTACACGGTTACTTCTTTGAATTGCCAGAAAATATAATATTGTCATTCAAAAATGTAAAATGTAAATTACGAACAAGTGTTTCCTTTTTTATTATATTTTTTTGTTTCAATTTGGAAGAGTGAGATTCTTACTTCTTCATCGTAGAAATGTTTTTGCGGAAAACTTGACCATTCTCCATAAATATTACTTCCTCAATGTTAGTTTTCGAAAAGGTACTACTTTCTAAATTATCTGTAGTTAAATTTTTTACACATAAATTAATAATAATAATAAAAATATTTCTTTTTATACAACTTCACTATTCTTTATTGTATGATTTTTGTCACCATATATCATACCATTACATGTATAAACCACCTTTCACGTAATTCTTTGATATTTCACAAAGAAAAAGCGATATATACCAAAAAAAAAACACATACATAATACATTTAAACCTTTCCTTAAAATAATAATAAGATTATTATAAAAAGTACTTAGGAGAATTGTAAATTAACATTATAATTTTTTTTCTAAAATAAGACTCTATTTATATTCAATGGCGAATATAAAACTCTAATTCAGTAGGAGCATTCTAGTTTTTAAATAATATAAAATTAGGAGAATCTTTTCTTTACCAACAATGTAGATTCTTTTTATTTAGGCTAGTAAACGGTTTTTCAATCGAAATATGTATAAGAATCGACAATCCTATAGTATCAAGAAATGCTAACAACGCAACCTAGTGTGCCGATTGACAATCAAGAGTACTATTTTTGATATTTTATACTAAAAAACTTGAAATAAAGACAACGGTCAAAAAGAAAACATCGAATTGAAGAAGCAATACATATTATTAAATTGCAGAAAAATGTAAAATTTGCGAAAACCTCAAATTGCATTAAATGTAAATGGTAAGGATTTGAAAATGCAGAAATGTAAATAACAGGAAATCGAAATTGTAGAAACGGTAAATGACGAATAACTTAAAACGCAGAATCTTAACTTGCATAAAGGCAAAATGACAAGGAATTGAAAGTGCAGAAACTTAAAGTTGGTAAACGTAAATTGCATGAAAGTAAATTGCAATGAACATAAATTACCAGGGAAAGTAAAGAAAGCGATAAAGACAATCAACGATAATGGAAACCCAGAGCATTAGAAACTTCATGATGCGTCGTTCTCTTGTAGACTTTTCACTAGTGTTTCTGTCTTCTCTGCCAATTTCCCCCCACTTTCCTTCACTCTTCGCTCTATTTATAGAGCCCCCTTCAGTAACCTCCCGAGAGTAGTTAACGAAAACTGCTACCACGTTCTTTGTGCACGTCCCTTGTAGTTTTACTTTTAGTTATACGGTTTTAAAAAACTGTTTCCACGTTCCATACGCGTTTAACCGGTCCTCAATTTATAACTTAGCCATAATTTCAACAGCTATGTAGGTTAACCTTTTCCTTGATCTCGATTTCAAATCTCAGGAATTTTTTATTCCTCTTAACCTTAACATTACACTTGATTCTAATTTCTCGATTTTCTTCAATAATAGACATTAAATATTCTTCCTTCGATTCTCGATTCCAATTCTCGATTTATGTGTTCATATTGTCTCGTGGTCATCGAATGTCTTCCAACCATCTTTTTTATTTATCAATTTTTTAACCAATCATATATCCTCAATTTTCTGTCCTCCATTTTTTTATCCTAGTATCGATTTTTCACTAACAATAAGACTAGGAAAAAAAAAGTTTTTATTACTTGTTAATAAATTTAGTCTCGTGTATATATATATATATATAGGCACAGTGGAATCCTGACAAAAGAGATAACCATGAGAATAAAGTAGACTTGTGTTTTAAAATTTTATACTTTACTTTTCACTGCCATACAGAATCACACGCGCGTTTTGTTTGTATTCGTGTCTAATTTATTTTCTTACCTTTTTCCCCTTTTACTTTTTTTCAGCTTATTTATTTTTTCTTTTATCATTTTCATCGAATTAAAGCCTCGAGAAGAGTAATTAATAGGTGTACATTTTTTTATCGACAATGATATTTACAATCTTTTATATACATTTTTAGAGTAAAAATAAAAAATATTTTAAGATATTTCCTATCCATATTTTCATTCTTAAGATGATTTTTCACAGGTTTATACAATAATATAATGGGAAAATTTGTTTCTTATATTAACTCTTATATCCAATATTGTAAGTGAGAAAAATGTATTGGAATTTTTGTATCATATAATTAAAATTATTTGACTTGACTTGAATTAATTGGGTTGATTATTAATTCTAAAAAAATCAGCTATTTACCTGTCTAGTGTTTTTTCTGACAACCAATAAACAAAAAAAAATATTAATTGCAATTTTTTTATATTAACCAGTGTATTAATGACATTAATATTTTACCATTACAATTTAATAATAAATTTGGTTGAACTTTGTAAATTTAAAAGTTATGAAAATTTAAATTAATTTTGTTATGACGTTAGACTTAATTATAACTTGTTTTCTACAAGTTATAAAATTAACCATTTTAATTTTTAATTTTGTTCTACAATTCTAGTTTTTTAAATTTTTAATTATTTGTAGCTTCCTTCAATTTTTAGTTGAATTATTCATAGTTTTTATTATTTGTGACCTTACACAGTAAAATTAAAAAAGAAACACATGTTAATTTTGACATAAAATATTATTAAATAAACTTAAAAATTTTATGAAAATTATATTTAATCTTAATACTTGAATTTGATGGAGTGAAGAAAAGCATATAGCAAAGGGGTGAGAGGCTCCCACCACCGAATTGATTAAAAAACATAATTTCTTCACTTTCTATGGCCTCAAGTGCCCCACTATCCCTATAAATACCTACTATAAACACCACCTACCTAAGTCACATCACTCCAAAACAAGAGAGAAAAAAAGCGATGATGTCCCCGTGCCATGTGATTCTACCCATTGTTCTCTGGGTGTGTACAACAACACTGACCCTGGCTCAGAGCACTCCTCAAGACTTTGTTGAGGTGCACAACCAGGCTCGAGCCGAGCTTGGCGTTGGTCCAATCTCTTGGAACCACACCCTTCAAGCCTATGCTCAAAAGTATGCCAATGAGAGGATCCCTGACTGCAACCTTGAGCACTCTATGGGACCCTATGGCGAGAATCTGGCAGAAGGGTACGGCGAAATGAAGGGTTCTGATGCTGTCAAGTTCTGGCTCACTGAGAAGCCTTGCTATGACTACAAATCCAATTCTTGTGTTCATGATGAGTGCGGCCATTATACTCAGATTGTGTGGCGCAATTCTGTTCATCTAGGGTGTGCCAGAGCCAAGTGTAACAATGGTTGGATGTTTGTCATTTGCAGCTATTCTCCACCAGGGAACATCGAAGGAGAACGACCTTATTGATTCTCTTTCTTACAAATATCGAAGAAACAAATGTACTACCTGGTAGTGTTTCCTGTCTTTATGTCATTGTTCGGAAACCACCATATCTAATATTCACACATATATGGCTTTGATATTTCCATTATAATTTATGAAGAAATTTCTCAGTCTTACTATGTTATCTTTTTTAACAAGAGCATTGGTTTTTCTACATCTTCAAGGTAATCTTAAAAATAATTGTTGTTTGATAATGGGGTGTGTGTTGTTTGGTTTTGAAAAGAGTATTTAATTGATTGATGGGGTATGATACAAGGAGCACGTTAGAGAATGAATGAATGAATCACTCGCACATTCAAGTCCCAGAAATTTGATGCATAACAAAGAAAAATAATTAATAGAACATTTATTGTAAGCATAGAACATTAACTGTTAGGGACAGTTTTATTAATAACTACAAGTGCGACAACAGAGTTATAATAACTATCCCTAAAATTACTCCAACTTTACAATTAGGTTCGAATTCCTGTTATGTCGCCAAATGGCCATCGTATAAGTCAAAATTAAAGTTAGTTAAGTTGGGTTCACCTTTCTTTTTTTTTAATCAAATAAATACTTTTGTTTTTTTAGTGATAGAATTCAAAAACAAAAATTTCTACTTAATTGTAATTTTCAAATTTTAAAATCACATTTTTTTTTTCATTTATACTTTCACTCTTCATCTAATAGTGTACTAGTTTACATATATTCATTTACTATGATGTAAAAATGAAAAAGACTGTAAAATAGAAAATCTTATATATATATATATATATATATATATATATATATTATTAAATTAAAAAAAGTATTTTATTTTTTTAAGAACCTTAAACTACACTGTAAAAATGTTAGTGAGTGTCATAAAATAAAGATCAAGGGGTCATTAAAAAATATTATTTATCATAAAAATATTTAATGATCGTATTATTTTTTTTACTAGTAATTATTAACACTATTAACTTGTAAAATAATGTTATTATCCACTAATTCAAGAACTTTATTTAAACTTTTACAATAATTATTTTTTTTAATGAATTATATATAATTAAGTCTTGTAAACGATCAGATATTTCTGTAATCTTAGTAACTATACAGAATCAGGTACCTTTATTTCATTTTCATTTGCGTGTATAATCGCCGTCTTTTGTATATGATAAGTGTATTTTGTCTATAATAACAAGATTTTGTCTGAATTTATTGTGGGGATTATGGTTGAACTTCTCTAATATGATAACTTAAAAAAAATAGTTAATCTTAACTGCTTTATGTTATTATCCAATAATAAATTTATATATAGAGAGATAAAAGGTTGTTAATTTTTAATTAGTTAATAATATATATAAGAATTTTATTAATAATTCATAGAAATTAAACTTTTATTGAAACCATATTCCTGCTATTGAATATCTTATCTCATTATATGATTTAGTGGCGTATTTATTTATTTGATTTTATGATTTATGGATGTTGACATTTGGCATAAGGAAGTTAGAATGACGCCAAAATTTGTTCACGGATGAGTTTAATGTGCGGCTGACAAACCAACCCCATCACAAATTTTCAATACCACATATTATTTAACATTCTCAAAATTTATAATATTAAATATATATATATATATATATATATATATATATTAAATAATAAAATTATTTTTTGGACAATTGAAAATTCTAAATATTTACATCACATAATTTCTATAATTAACTTATATATGAATTATTTTTATTTGTATTTTTTATTTTAAAAATATTGATGAATTTTTTTTGTCTAGATTTTATTTATGACAACACATGTGATTTATATTATTTATGCACATTAACAATATTCATATAAAAATTACACATATATAATAATTACTTAAAACATTTATTTTTATTATTTATATGCACTTAAATTTCGTATAACATAATTTAAAATATAAAAGTATTATTTATTATATAGTTGTTATAAATTATCCACACTTTTTTTCTCATTATACTACCTATGTTATTGTATTTTTTTTTCTCTGTATCTCTATTACACATGGTAGAAAGTAAAAAAGAAGTAACATAAAATTAGTAGTTTTTATTAGTAAATATTAATTGTTTATATATTTTTTTGAATGGAGAGATTCGAACAAACTTTGTGTTTATTGAAATTTTTACATACCAATGCATTTAATGTTCAAGACTAAAAAAAAACTAACAATTAAGTAAAATAAAAAGAGATGTTGATGTGTATAAAGATAATAACTTTAAATGTTATAGTATATAAAGAAAATGTTAGTGTCGCAAGGCCTATAATTTAAGTGTTATAGTAATCAAATAATCTGGTTAGTTTTTATCAAATATTTAATCATTTTATTTATAAGATAATTAAAATTTAAAAGTCTAAAATATAAATTATGTTATAATAGGTAATAAAGCTAAAACAAGTATAAGATGAGGGAGTAACCACGCTGTTAAATACAATATATATGATTAATTTGTTGCATGATTTAATAAAAAATAAAAAACTACATGAATACGGAAAAGAAAGGTGGGTCCAGTGAGGTTAATCGGCAGAATTCACTGCTTAATTTGTGGTCGGTGGAAGACTTAAGAAGGGTATAAATAAAAGGAAAAGATAGAATAGAAGACCTGTGTGTTTAATTTAAGTGTTGTGTCTCGTTCAAACTACTTTTGAGAAGGAAGCCAGGTACAAAGTCTAAGATAGCTTCTTTTTTTTCCCTAAACTTTTAGAACATTATTTGAAAATAAGAATAGACCGAACTATATTAGAGTTGGGTTTACTTAATTATTGCATTTAAAACACTAGTTAATAAACTATTAGTAATATTTACTTTCGGTGGGAGTTGAGTTTTTTTAGGTGTAAAAACGCAACCGTTATGTATTTCATATCTATTATATTATTTATTTTGAAATTTTAGTCTATTTTATTTTTAAAAATATCTCAATGAATTTAGGAAAAAAATATAATAAATTATCTTTAATCTAGACCTCTAAGTGATATATGATTAATAAGCGTATTAAAATATAACATTCAATGAACTAAGTAGGAATAACGAACGAATCAACCCACTCTCTTTAGCCTACAAAAAAATAGGGTGGGGTGAGCTAGTCTGTCATGGACTATAAATCTCAGTTCACCCTCCAAAGGGATTAACCAGAGTCACCTCCCAACTAATTTTATTTTATATAATTTTTTATATATATTTTTTAAAAAATATACATTTAAGTATATAAATAGTTTTTAAGTTTTTATTTATTAATATTTTTATTAAATAAATTAAAAAACTACTATATTTATATATTAAAATAACTAATTATAATAAATAATTTAAATTTAATTGATTATTTTTATATATAATATAAAAAATATAATAATTTTTAATTATAATTCTTTTGTTTTTATTTTAATATATAAATATTTTGTAAAATAAAATAGTTAATTCCACCTCGTTTTTGGCTCATAGGATTAACAAAATAGATAGAACATGCTAAAATGGATTGACATGCTAAAATGGATTGACATGTTAAAACTACCAATTTATCCTACCAAACCTAATTCATTTTGTCATTCTTAAGACTGAATAATATATACAGTGGAACTGGACCTTACTTTTGACATTATAAGAACCTTAATATTTTATCTAATAACGAGAGAATATTCTGGTATCATGTTTGTTATAACAATATTATAAAAATCAATTACCACGTCTGATTTTGTTACAAACTTGTCTTTAAAAGATAACTTGATAAATTAAAAATAATATATATATATATATAAATTATCTTTAATATAAATTTCTAAATAATATGATATTGATGAATATTTTATTAACATTTTCCTCCGGAGTTGCCGCCCGTTGATTTGAAGAGTGTGACGAGGGAGGTCCGAGAGAATGAATAGAGTTCATATGTTGATGCATCATTTTCTCCTAATTTAATGGTTCGTTTCATGTGTTTGGAATTTTTTTTACTTTATAAATATTTTTCAAGATAATACAACATCAATGTCATTCATGATTGATCTCAATATACGTGTAACTAAGTGTGTTTTTGTCATAAATTAATACATATAAGTTAATTAATAAAAATTATTATGACAAAGAAAAAAAAGGAGAAAAAAATAATTTTTTTTAATATATATATATATATATAATTTGGTTAATCTCATATTATTTATTCGATTTGTAATTATTACATTTGTTTATTTATTTAATTTTCTTCTCGTAATTTTTGTTATTTTATTAATTTATGTACTTATTTTTTATTTTATAATTTCATCGATTTATAACAATATATTTAAAAATTAAAATATTATAATAACAAATAAATTTAAATAAAATATCAAAACAACAACAAATATAAATTTTTTATTCAAGTGTATCATTATAATAAAATAAAATAAAAATTATTTAACAAAAATATTTATATTTAATTTAAAATTAATTATAAAATAAATAAAAACAATTTTTAAAATAAAATAAAAATTATTTAACAAAAATATTTTATATTTAATTTAAAATTAATTATAAAATAAATAAAAACAATTTTTAAAATAAAATATTATATCATTAAACAATATGGTAGGTTCATTATTTAATTATATAAATTTATTTAGATTATTGTATATGGATTATTTATTATGATATGATTTGTAGATTAGTTACATAAAATTTGGTGAATTATAATACCATTTTATTTATGGATTATCCAAATATAATATTATTTGTAGGTTAATAAAAAAATAATAGGATAAATATTAGATAAAAATGTTTACTTACTCTATTTTAAATTTAATATAGTATATAACTAAAAAAACTAATTAAATCATTACTATAATCTATAAACTAAATTAATTAACATAAAAAATAATTACAATTTCTTTTTTTATTTGTTTAATTATTTAATATTTTCTATTAATAATTTATTATTTTATATTTTTTGTGTAAATAAAAATATAATACTCTTTAACTTGTGTCATAAAGACATATATATATATATATATATATATATATATATATATATATAATAAAATATAAAATAAGTAAAATAGAAAGAGACGTTGGTGTGTATAAAGAAAATAACTTTAAGTGTTATTGTATATAAAGAAAACGTTAATGTGGCAAGGCCTATTTACGTGTTATAGTAATAATTTTTTGTTATTTTATTGGAGAAAAAATTATCATAAACAAACTTAAAAGCTTCTTTCAACTTATCTTTTGGTACACGGATATAGAATGATGGATCGTAGTGGAGGTTATGTAGTCCCCCATCATACCATGATGCCATGATCAAATTCATAATTCGATTACAAATTCATAATTCATATTAGACTAAAACTTTGAAGCATACACCCAACCACGACCATATCCCAGAAATCATGTATTATACGCAGTCTCCTATCTTTAATTTAAACATTACGTTAAAAAATTGAACATTACTAAATATATACCTATACGTGTTATGATAGATCTATATTATAAACTATAATAATATGCTAATTGTGTAATATACATCATATAAGATACCATTATTTGTTTATATAAATATTACGTTATTAACATTAAATCTAATATTAATTAGTATTGTCATGTACACTTGAATTGTTTGACTATTTTTGAATTATTGGATTTGATGTTTCGTGTTCAATTCTAATTTTGTTTTATTAAAGGAATACGTTGACACAAAAAAGTTTATAATCAAGATTACAAACGTCATATATTATTTTTGTAAAGTCTTAATTAGTCTAAAAAACAATGTCACTTTATATAGAAAAAATATATATTTACTCATATTGAATAAAAATATTCATTAATTAATATATAGGATCAATAATTTACCTTATATGTATTATTTATTTTCCAATTTCTATATATTTCATACACAAGTATATATATTTTTTTAATTTTAAAATTAATTATGTATAAAAGAATTTCAAACAAGTATAATTTCATATTATGATTAAAAGTTAAACACTTGATAAATATATTTTTAATTTTGAATAAATGATTATATTTAATAAATACAACAATCAATATTGAATAAAAAATTATTTATATATATATATGGTAAATATATTAAGTACTATATTAATAATAATATGAATGTAATAACTATTATTAATATCAAGTATTTAATGCTTTTTGAAATATGATTAATTCTATTAAATTTTATTGGAAACAATTGCTATTTTTCAGGTTTCAATTTATGATTAATAGGTTGAAGTATCCTTAAAAAATTTAAATTTTTATTATTACATTAAATATTTTTTTATAATAAATACAATAATTAATATGTTTATAAAAATACTAAATTATTAATGTTAAGGGTTACATGAATACAAAATTAAAAAATATCATTAATATGAATATTTAATATCTTTATTAAAGTCTGTAAATATCATTAACTCTACCCTTCCGTCGCCGGAACCTTTTCCTAACAACCAATTTTCCGCCTTAAAAGCCCTATAAATAATACCTCACAAGAGCTCCAATCTTATTCATCAAACACCTCTCTTTCAGTATTAGTTTCTGCATAGCTGAGGAAAGTAATATTATTACACACACCAAAATGGGGTGCGTTAAGGTTTGGTTTTGTGTGTTGAGTGTGTTGGGGTTGGTGATCGTGGGTGATGTTACCAACGCTCAAGATTCACCAGCAGACTACGTGAACGCACAGAACGTTGTAAGGTCACAGGTTGGTGTCGGAAAGATAGTTTGGGATGACACTGTTGCTGCTTTTGCACAGAACTATGCTAATCAGCGTAAAGATTGCCAACTTATCCATTCTGGCGGTGGTGGAAAATACGGGGAGAATATTGCCATGAGCACTGGTGACATGAGTGGCACAGAGGCAGTGAAATTGTGGGTGGATGAGAAACCCTACTATGACTACGCTTCTAACACTTGTGTTGGTGGAGAGTGTCTGCACTACACTCAGGTTGTTTGGAGAAACTCTGTGCGTCTTGGATGTGCCAAAGTAAGATGCGACAACGGAGGCACCTTCATCACTTGCAACTATTCTCCCCCTGGCAACTATATTGGCGAAAGACCCTACTGAGTTGGTTCAGTGTAGCTGTTACGAGCAACACCATGCATTTCAGATGTATTTCACATTAATAATATAAAATATAACATCATTGATTTATGAAAGTTCAGTCTTGTGATGTTTTCCATTGTATCAGAATGCATGTGAACTCCCATAGTTAATAATAATGCTACTCTTCAACGTTGTGGTGTGTATTTGATGAAAAGATTAAAGAAGAAAAAGCTTTTAACAGAAATGTTGAATGCGGAGTCACACTTCAATTTCTTCTTTCGACTAAAAATTTTTGGTATAAAAGAATATTTTCATGTCCGCAGATTTTGAAACTTAAAAAATATAATTTATTACAATGATTAAGATCTTATTTGTTATAAATATTTTTAAAAATATTTATTTAAGTTACTGGAAATTAAAAGTCATACAATAACAATTTTTCATTTTTTTAAACTATTTATCATATTAGATTATTTAATAAGAATAGTAATATATTTTTATCACAATAAAACATTTTAAATTAGAAAAAATATTATTCTTACTTTCTCTCACAATAATTGTTTTTTGGAAAGCGCAAATTTTTTATTCTTACAAAACATTATATATATATATATATATATATATATATATATATATATATATATATATATATATATATATTCTGGTGATCATGTTATTTTTAAAATATGAAAAAAAATGTATATATTCCAACAAATTAAAATAAATGCACTACGAAATGATAATTGATCAAGTCTAAAATTATATGTTTAGAATGTGTTTTTAAGTTACCTGTATTCCTACGAAATGAATTCAACTTGTTAGTAAAAGATACCAATATTGATATATATATATATATATATATATATATATATATATATATATATATATATATAAACATATTCATCTCAACAAATTATTTTATTAATACATATTTATTTTTAAAAAATATATATTTTTTAAAATAAATGGCATAGACCTCGTTAAGATAAATTCATTATATATAAATTAATGATAGATTATGTTTATATTTAGGTGAAATGTCTATTTTTACAATGATATATTTTTATTAAAAAAATCCTAAAATTTCATTAGATCGTAATATTTTAAAAATCAAATATGTCAAATGGAAAGTTTAGACAGGAAACATGATGATATCGTCACAATTATCCTCACTTATTTCTACCCAATCGACTAATGGAAGGAAATAATTCTTTTTCTCTTCATTTTTTTTATTTGATAAATATAAGAGAAAACTTTTCATGTTTAATTTGGTTTTTATAAATAAAAAGTTTTAACAACTAAAGGCTTCTCAGATATATTTTTAACTATGCTTTGATAAAATTATTTTTATGGGAAGTAAAAAAATGTAATATTTGAATAAAAGAAGAGATTTATTGTAGTAAAAATACCTAATTGCTCTCTCTCTCTCTCTCTCTCTCTCTCTATATATATATATATATATATATATATAAAATTTAATGTGGTAAAAAATAGTTTTTGAAAAAAACATCACATTATTCTTTGATTTTTAAAGAATTTATATAAATGATTTTGTCAACAAATTATTCAATGAATCATTCAAGAATTAAAAAATGGCTCACTATAGGATTTTTTCTGATGTACTATTCTTTAGTAATAGACATACCGGGAGGGTGTGAATTAAGAATATGATTATTTTGTAAATAAGACAAAATTTGGTTCTCCTTGATAACAAGGACACGACTTGATTTTTCTTAAAAATGACGATATGTTATGAAAAGGAAAAGGAAAATTAATCCATCTTTTAAAATTGATTTAATAATAACAGTATTATATTTATTTATTTATATATAATAGAAAATTTTAATTTCTAATATCATTAGACTTAACTCTAATATTATATTAAAAATAAAAATAATATCTAATTTAAACTTACAAAATTGATTAAGTAATAATTACATTACACCCACTTATATTTTATAATATTATATATTTTTAATTAACACAAGATTTCATTATATTTGAATACTTCGATGGAAATCTCTCGTATTAAAGAAAACCTTTCAACTTATCGTCTTAATTCAATAAAGATTTTTAAATACACTTCTTGTAGAAGAAGATTTTTCAATGTTGAAAAAGATTGTTTAAGAAAATTAAAACATAGAAGGGTAAAAGACTATAAACTTAATATTTTTAAATTTGTTTTAAATTAAAAATGATATTTTTATATAATAATAAATATTGTTTCGTTTAAGAATGAAAATATTTTGATTTTATATTCATGTTATTAATATTCGTTTTAAAATGATAATATATTATGATGTTATTGATAGTAAATTTTTAATAAATTAAAAAGAAAAAAATAAATAAATTAGTACATCACTGTTGTTAAAGATATTTATTATGTATTAACTGGTCGAATATACTAAGAACATGTGTAGTTTGCTTTTCATTCCACCAGGTCTATGCATGTCTTCGTTGCTACCAAACATCATCATCCACGTTCCATGATCCATGGTATAGCTTCAATTGCTTGTGGTTCTAGATTTTGTGTAAAAATTCAAAACAATTTTCATAAAAAAACAAATAATAAATCCATGACTAACTACAGAGTTTGGTACATTCATGCACCAATTACCAAGTAGGAGGAATGCAACCAAGAAACCCTCGAACTTTTCTTCCTATTAACCTTGTTTTACACGGCAATATGATTAATGTATGGGCAACCACATTGGTGACCACGACACACCATAATCGGGATTATGTCATCCAATCACATTCAGATCCCATATGTAGTGGAATGAATGCCAAATGTAGAGTAAATGAAGTGATTGATGTGGTCATTTTTACATTTCCACAAGTATTTATATTCAACGGTCGCGATCCTTTGATGTTAATATGAAATAAACTAATCTTATAATTCACCTGTAAATAAAAAGGTTTCATCGTAACATATAATTAATTTACGTTGTGGAAGTCATACAGACTTAACACCACTAAAACAGACACTAATTAAACACAGTTAGTTGACTTTAATTAATAGGAGCCTGATATCTATTGAGAACGTGTCATACTCAAATACAAACACACAACAACACGCTATTACGTGTTAAAATTGTAAAACTATAGTATGTGTAATGCATGGAATATTCCTCATTTTTCATCTCATTCATATACGCAAATATTAAATATTTCTAAGATAAATATAATTTTTTGCAATATGTAAATTTATAAGTGCATTTATTTTAATATTTAATATAAAATATTAAGACTTTAACTTTTCAAAATATATATGATAATGTTAAATGTTAATATTCTAATAAAATTTGTATTTTTAGTATATATAAATAGATGATAAAAATGTGTAGTAAGGCTGATAATGAATGGAAAAAGATCCTCTCGAACTTAATTTTCTCAAAATTGAATCTCAGCCCTTATTTAGTTTTAATATTTAATAATTTTAATATATAAAAAGATAAGAAAAGCATAAATGAACGCTCAAATTTTAGAACTAGACAAAAGTATATGTTAAGGGGGATATTAATAAATTTTACAGATATTCGTAAATATTCACGTGTATTATTAATGAATATTTATCAAAATATAAATTTTAACACAAAATCAAATATTAAAAATAAGTAAATTTGAAATATATATATATATATATATATATATATATTTATATATTAAAAGAGTAACTTAATTTATATACAACTAAATTTATTTAATTAATTCCAAACTGTGGATAGCTGTAAGTTTGTGGATTATTTTAATAGTTTTACAAAACTTTGTCAACATAATTTATTTTATAATAATAATAAATGTCATATTGATAAAATTATTTTGTTTTTTGTAAAATTTTATTAAAGATCCTGTTTTAAAGTTTGATATATAGTGTAAGTTCATCTCAGTCTGAATATTTGAGTAGAGTACGATGGTGGAGATGCCAAAAAATATTTAACATATGAATTAAATATAAATATTATAAAAAACTTGAGTAAAACCATACCACTTCAACAAAAATGGGTCACTAATAGTTCGTATTATGATATTTTGCAACATGTAATATTATAATCTAATTATTAAATTAAACTATTTATTAATTTAGTTGTTAGTGTAAAATGAATATTTTAATAACACTAAATTATAACAATTTAGTATTTTTTTTTTCGTTTCATCCATCAGATCTTACATAGTTGAACACGAAACTGCCTCTTTTATCAACAATGATATTCATGGTATTTATCTTGAAGTTTTCGGCTCCCAGCTCTCACAATTTTGGAGTTATAAACAGTGATATTCTTGGTGTTTATTTTGAAGTTCTTGACTCCCGCTCTCACGATTCTAGATATTGGAGTGGGATAAATAGTCTCAAGTAATAAGTGACTTTATAATAGGATAGATAAAAAATTAACTTGTTTTTCTGTCACTTTGTACTACTTATATCACCGAGTGATAAAACTGAACATGTCCATAAAATGGAACTATATTGAGAGGACAATGTCATAATCCATCATTCTTTTTTTTTTTTCAATTAAAATTTTTAATTTTTCCCTCTAATATAAGGAAGGAGTTCAAAACATATTTCATAATATTCCATAACGTAATCAATTAATAATGACATATTAGGCAGACCGCAACCTCAGCAGCAAGCAATCTAGTTTCTGAGTCATCCACGCATAACCATTTTGAAAATTCTACTATTGAACCTTCCTATCCAAAAAAATCACGTTAAAATCCCTATAAATGCCTCACAAGAGCTCCAATCTCATTCATCAAACAAAATGGGGTTTTACAAGGTTTCATTTTGTGTACTGTGTGTGTTAGGGTTGGTGAGTGTGGGCGATGTAGCCTACGCTCAAGACTCAGCAGCAGACTACGTGGACGCACACAACGCTGCAAGGTCGCAGGTTGGTGTTGGAAACATAGTTTGGGATGACACAGTTGCTGCTTTTGCAGAGAACTATGCAAACCAACGCAAAGGTGACTGCAACCTGGTCCACTCTGGTGGTGATGGGAAATATGGGGAGAATCTTGCTGGAAGCAGTGGTGACCTAAGTGGGAAAGATGCAGTGAACTTGTGGGTGGATGAGAAATCAAATTATGACTACAACTCCAACTCTTGTGTTGGTGGGGAGTGTCTGCATTACACTCAGGTTGTTTGGAGGAACTCTGTACGCCTTGGATGTGCCAAAGTAAGATGCGACAATGGAGGCACTTTCATCGGTTGCAACTATGATCCCCCTGGGAACTATGTTGGCCAAAGACCTTACTAATAATGTACTTGTTTCATGTAGCAGCTTCCACTTTGAACTGCTTATGTATGTTGCGAATAAAAATCATTATAACATGCAAGCACAGAACCATAATGCATGAATTTAGGTGTCGACTTTAAATTCATGTTGCAATACTTTTCAATGTATTGAAATGATATAATAAAATAGTGTTTGTTATACTTCTTTTTATCTCTAATGGATACTTTCCCCTGTCTTTGATTCTATTAGATTTGCAAAATTGCTCATTTTGTTTTCTTGGATTTGAATATTCATATTGACTGCACTTTGAAAGTTCATGATTCCACCATCTGCAGCAAGTACTTCTGACACTGAATCATGATTCCACATGTGATGCGATGAAAAAATAGTAAAAAATAAAAAGAAAGAGATGGAAGTCCATTGTAAGAGAGTTGGCTGTATTTATAATTTACCCATTTACAGACTTTTAGATGATCATGTAGCTTTGCTTATTACGTGTTTTTTAATATATATATATATATATATATATATATATATATATATATATATATATATATATATATATATATATATATATATATATATATATATATTATTGTGGTCCTTATTACGTGTTTCCACCAGATAAATTTTGCATCCCTTTCCTTTTCACGTGACGTGATTAAGAAATGTCTTTTGCTTCTTCTTCTTTTTTCATTGGTATCTAATTGAAATGATATGATGATAAATAACAACAACATACAGTATGTGATTTTTTTTTTAATTAGGTGATTGAATAATTTTTCTTATAAGTTCGGCTCTTAAAAAAAAACTGAGACTTAAATTGATTGTATGGTCCAATATTGTCATTTGCAAATAGATTAAATTTCATGCGACATCTTATTGGTTCCATACAAGATGTTGGAAGAAGCAAAGTTTGACACTCTTTTTTTTTTTTTAAGTTTTTATAAAATTATTTTTATCTATTTCCTTTATCCTAAAATATAATGATGAAAAATAAGCTTTAAATCTTATATTGCTAATAAAAAAGAAATCTTATATACAAAATTATTAAATATTTAACTCAAAATCATATAAAATTAATTTAATAAAATGAAAATTATATTTATTTATAAATTATAATGTTAGGATATATATATATTTTTTTTATGTGAGATTTTGTAATTTTTTATCATGAAAACGAATTTTCATCATATCCTTTAATTCGAGAAGGATTGTCATTAAAACTTAATTTTATTATATAATAATATTATTACTTAAATAGCAATAAAATGTAGTTATTAATTGATTATATTGTTAAAAATTGGTTGTGGATATAGATAATTTTTTATTTCAGTAAATGTGATATATTCTATTTTGTACTTTACCAAAGCGAGGGTAAGCAGGAATTTGCACTAAAACGAGCTTTAAGCAATAATTAATAACTTAAAAGGGGAAAAGTTTTCAAAAACACCAGTCATGCTTCGTCGTCACGTCACTTTCCAACATTCATCTTCTTACAGTTAATAATTGGGTTATAATATATTATAACCCATTTTTTCTAAACACCCATTTAAAGAATTAATATAATAATATATTTTTAAAAAAATTAAACACCGGTTTAAAGAATTAATATCATAAATAATATATTTAAGAAGAAATATGAATATTTTTAAATTTATTTATCCAATTATATCTATTTATTATTAATACACAAAATTTAATAAGAAAAATAGATATATCCATATGAGAGATATTTTTCTCATTTTTTTCTTTTTTTTTTCTCTTCAATTATTTTTTATTTTCATTTTTTTCCTCTTTTGTTCTTTTATCATTCCTTCTTATTCTTTAATTAAAAAAATAGATTGAATTTGATATTGAATTTGATAATATCAGATTGTTATTATTATTAAAAAATAAAAATATTTAAATGATTTAGAAATATTATAATTTAATATATTATATTTTTAAAAATATCATATAATAAATTTGAGATGGTGCAAATATTATTTTTATGTTGTAATTATTAAATTAAATATTTATTTTAAAGTATTTTTTTAATAAATATTTTATTTAAATTATCTTATCTAATTAATTATCACAATTAAACCTAATTATAATTAGATTAAATTATTAAATAAAAAATACAATTAACTTATAAATATTTAATATTTTTTAATTAGATTTATATTATGATAAACTAATTTTAAATTAATTATTTACCTAAATAAAATTATTAATTATCATCATAATTTTAAATAATTAATAATTAATACTTTTTAAATATATTTTATTAAATTTTAATATAATAATTTAATTAGGAGAATAAATGAGAGAGAAAAAAAAACAAATATAGAAAAGAGAAAAATAAGGAGTAATCGAAGAAAAAGAAAAAAAATGAGAAGAAAAAAATTACTTATAAACAATAAACAAGTCTATTTTAATAGATAAATTCATATATTTTATTTGAGTATTTTTTTAAATATATTATTATTTATCTATCTTTATTTTTTTATTAATAAAAAATAATATTTAAAATTTATCTAGATGAAATAAATCTTGTCAAAAAGTATTCTCCCTAATAATTTTCAAGAATGGCAGTAGCATTTTTATAATATTTTATTATTATTATTATTATTATTATTTAAATTATATATAAAAATATTAAAAATTTTGAAATTATTAAGAATATAGGAATTGCGACTTTTATATTTTTTAATATTAATAAAAATAAATGTGTTCAAAATAATATATATTAGTTTCTCTCAACACTTTTGTTATATGATAATTAATTAATTATTATGGATTACGTAGTATTTGGACGTCATCAAGCTATGTAGTTTTAAGTCATCTAAGCATCATTATCATAGGATTTTGAAAATTCTACTGTTCTTGCCCACAAACTAACCTTTCTAATTCCAAACTTTCCATGTTAAAATCCCTATAAATACCACTCAACATTTCCATCCTTTTTTCATCAAACAGCTCTCTCACATCATTAAGTAATACTAATCAAAATGGGGTTGTGCAAGGTTTCATTTTGTGTGTTGAGTGTGTTAGGGTTGGTGATTGTGGGTGATGTAGCCTATGCTCAAGATTTGCCAGCAGACTACGTGAACGCACACAACGCTGCAAGGTCACAGGTTGGTGTTGGAAACATAGTTTGGGATGACACTGTTGCTGCTTTTGCACAGAACTATGCTAATCAGCGTAAAGATTGCCAACTGATCCATTCTGGCGGTGGTGGCAAATACGGGGAGAATATTGCCATGAGCACTGGTGACATGAGTGGCACAGAGGCAGTGAAATTGTGGGTGGATGAGAAACCCTACTATGACCACGCTTCCAACACCTGTGTTGGTGGAGAGTGTCGGCACTACACTCAGGTTGTTTGGAGAAACTCTGTGGGTCTTGGATGTGCCAAGGTAAGATGCGACAACGGAGGCACCTTCATCACTTGCAACTATTCTCCCCCTGGCAACTATATTGGCCAAAGTCCCTACTAAATTGCTTCACACTGCTTATAATATTATGAATAAATGATAACATCATGAGTTTAGCTACATGTGGCGACCATAATAAACTCATGTTGTGATATTTCCTATGTATTGCTTCATAACTCACATCATAAATAACACGATAATTAGTGGTCTTGAAGGTTACTTCAATAAGGCCAAATTAAAGTTTGTTCTTTATCTTTCCTTTATAATTCTAATAAAAAATAAGAAAAAAGAAGAGTAGATTAATTACCCATATTTAATATTTAATTGGATCTATAATCTCCTTCACCCCTTCCCTTGTCAATAACTAGAATGAAAAAAAAAAGAAAAATATCAATGCATCTAAAAAAAAAAACGATTGATCTCTATCAATAAACTTGCCAAAGCCCTGAACCATAAAGTACTTATTACTCGTACCATAAAAAGATATGTTTTTAGACCTCGTATTTCAAATCTTCCTTTTTAATTTTTAAGTATTTTTTTTCTCTGTTGATATATCAATAAAGAAAAATGTGGAAAACAAGACAAAGATTATTCATAATAATACTAGAAACAAATGGAAAAGGGATGTAGGGCAGTTTGGTACGCACGTTTGTTTTAGATACAAAATGTCAGTCCCATTTTGACCCGTCCTGCCAAGCCCGCTAACCCGTGGGATGGGGCGGACCAACTCACGACCCGCCTAATTAATAAGAAAATAATTTTTTATTGTAATAAAATTAATTATAAATATAATATATTAAGTTAAAAATTTTAAAAAGAGAATTAAAAAAGTTTTACTCTCACAAAAAATATTCTCCTTGTTGAAACACAACTTTCTCTCTTATTCTCCTTGTTCATATTAAACACTAATTATTTTTATCCTTATGACTTAAATTAAAAGTGTAAGAATTACTCAACTAAGAATAATGTGAAGTTTTATCAAATAAAAAAGATATAGGTATTTGAATTTTTCAATATAAAAAATATAAATTTTATAAGTTTTAACGTTATATATATATATATATATATTTGTTATTATTTATTATTATGTAAATTTTATTATTGTTCTAAATTATAATTTCTTAAAAATAATGTGTTGATTTATATTATTAAATTGAAATAATATATATATATATATATATATATATTTGAATTATTGACAAACAAATAATAATCTTATTATTAAATTTATTAAAAAAAATATTTTAAAAAATAAATTATTTTTTTAAAATTATGGTGGGTTAGTCCATGACCAGTCCAACCCAGCCTCTTGGCGAGGCGAACCAATATCTACAGATCCGTTATGACTATAACGGGTCAACCCACCCAGTCCCATTTTTAGCGGGCCAAAAGCGGAGTGGGCAAAAACGGGACAGAGTCGTTTTATCATCCCTAATATAAAACACGTTTGAAATATACTTAGGAATGATCCATTCTAAAAACACAAACAAAGAAGAAATTTTACTCCGAAATTAAAGACATAAAAATACAATATTTATTTATATCACTATAATTGATTCTCACTTGATATTTAGGATATACACGTTCAGAACTTAAATCTGTATAGTTATTTATTTAATAATATAAACTTCATTGAATCACATAAGAGACCAGATCTCATCAACCTAATTACTTCATGAGATATTACCATTCAATTTATAACTAATGGGACAATCAATTTAATTAACTTGTTTCTAGTTGGATAGTGGATTTTTATGATTTTATTTTCTAATGTATTTCATAATTTATTTAACATGTTATATTAAATTATTTAACTTTAAAAAATTCATAATGTAACAGTTTTTTTGGGAATTGATCATCATCATAAAAGTAAAAAAATTGGATTATGAATATAACATTGCTATTTTTTTTTTAACATGTGGATCAAAATAAAGCAATTAAAATTATAAAGATCAAAATTTTAAACTTTTTAAATGTATTAACCAAAATAGCATAAATAAAACTGTGAAGACCAAAATTATCTGCAAGTAAATTAGATGAACTAAAAATGCAATTAAATTAGATATATCAATCTCGAATATTGTAGTAATATCCATTGTATTCCTGTTTAAGTAATTACATTTTTTTAAATCTTGTTCCAAGGAATAATGAATTTCTTTAATAACATTTGTAATATCTAGATATTTTCTGGTTGACTAAAAACAGTCGAATAGACTTTGTATAAGCATCCATTGACCAAGAAAATACAAAGGTTGCTGCACTTTTGTTAATTTTCTTTCATGGTGAATTCATGAGACATGAACCCACCTTGATTGATCAGCCTGTGAAAAGTCATTGCAAGTTCGTCATGTTTCTGTGGAGGCTACGTTCTCCAACTGCTTTGAGTGACTTTTGTATAAAACTTTCCACAAAAATGAATTAATCTATGGCCACTCACTTTGTACATGCACGCAATTATTAACTTTTCATCCTATTTACGTTTTTTTTCTTCTACACGGCAGTGTAGACCAAGTCTATGTAACTTAACAGTTTATAGACAAACATAGTGAAACATTGAGGAATGAGTGATTAAATTTAATGTCCAGTTCCAATCAATAGTTTAAAGTTTTAAAGAATAAAAAAGAAATATTAAAAGATAAATATAGTCTTATTGAAGAGTGAGTTGTATTGTATAAAGCTAGTTTGATTAGTTAGTCTTACCTGGTCTTACAAGGCAAGTTCTCTGGAGGAGTAAAATCACTAATTAAGATGAAAGGATAAGCAGAAACAATGACATCAATAATTTTCATAAAAGAACTTTGGCTCTGGTTACATGTCTTCTTAATACATGATACCAAGATATGGCAGTGATTAACTAATGTTCTAGTCATATGTTTATGTGAAAATTCAAATTGAACTTCTGAGAAATTTCCATTCATGAATTGATATCTAGTTTATTTTTTAACGCAAAAAGAAAGCTGTGAATCAGTCAAGGCGTTTGGAAAATTTCGCTATGACGATAAACACTTGACTAGGAAATAGAATAGACAGCAACTCATTACCGTGTTGTTTTTTACATGCATGTCTTCTTTGATTTTTGGGATTTTAATAGAGGCAAACTTGCTCAGACAGTGAAAACTTAAGGATGAACTATGTTTCAATTTGTCCATTTTCACTAGTTTTGTTGTACTCCTATATGTCTAAAAAAATGAAGCCTACAACAAGAAATTTTAATGTTCTTGTGTTCTTGGGGTCGTTATTCTGTCTCTTTATGGCGGGTTTTGGTGCTGAAAGTGAAATAGATTGCTTGCAAACCATCAAGAAAATGGACCCGTTTAATCACTTATCTAGCTGGGATTTCGAGAGCAACATTGAGGGTGGCATATGTATATTCAGCGGTGTTGAATGCTGGAATCATCTGGAAGATAGAGTAATCAGTCTCTGGCTTTCTAACATGGAGCTGAAGGGCCAGTTCCCTCGTTGCATTGAAGATTTCACATGGTTGCAGACTCTGGATCTCTCACACAACGAGCTTTCTGGATATATCCCAAATGATATCGCAGATAAGCTGCCATATCTGGTCACACTTGATCTCTCAAATAACTATTTATCTGGTGAAATTCCAAAGGGTATTGCCAATTTGTCAGGCTTATTTTCCCTTCTACTTGATGGCAACCAGTTAACGGGCCAAATCCCACAAGAAGTTGGGCTGCTTCCCTTTCTTAGAGATTTTAGTGTTGCTAACAACTTGTTAGAAGGGCCAGTTCCTGTTTTTGTGAGCAATGTTAACGTGAGTTTGAGCTATGCCAATAATAGTGGACTCTGTGGGGGAGTACTAGGAAGCTGTGATGAGAGCTTGTTTGGTAGATCGTTTTGGTATAGTTTGATTATTGGTTTTGTTTCCTCAGCAACTTCTGTTATAGTTTCTTTCATGTACTCATATGCACCTTGGACAGAATTCAAAAAGATGAGTAACGCTATTCATCCCCTAATCAAGACTAGACAAGAAGCCGAATTGCTACCACTGGACTTGCAAGGAAGCAAAGAGGTTCTCTCTCTCTCCCTCTCTTTCTCTACAGTTGTTAATCAAACACTGATGTTGCTAGTCATTATTAATGAATAAATGTTCAAGTTACTTCATAGGTTAAACGAATACAAAAAAGAAGTTTGTATTTCATATTAAGGTCATTTTATTTACATTCCATATTTTATTGCCCATCCATGATACGGGCTGACATATATATGGTGTTACTATTCCATCTACAGCTAACAATATTGTTGGAGAGATTGATTACTAGAATGAGCTACAAGGAATTATGCAAGGCAACTGATTACTTTTGCACTGATAACATGTTGGGGATAGGAACGACAGGGATTATGTACAAGGCAAAGGTATCAAATAACTGTTTTCTGGCAGTTAAGAGACTATATGATGCTGATAAGTACAAGAGGGAATTCTTACTTGAAATAATGATTCCAGGAAGACACAGGCACAGAAACATAGCTCCCGTGCATGGATTCTGCATAGAGAAACAGGAAAGGGTTTTGGTGTATGAGTACATTTCTAATGGAAGACTCAGTGATTCGTTACAATCTGATGAGGGACATCAATCAATAAAAATAGAATGGCCAGAGAGGATTCACATCGCACTTGGGCTTGCCAGAGGTTTATCTTGGCTTCATAAAAGGTGCAAGATAGTCCACCTCAATTTAGATTCGGAGTGTGTCTTGTTGGACAAGAATTTTGAGCCAAAAATTTCCAATTTTGGCAAGGCAAAATTCATAAACCAGACGGTTGAAGATCATGTGAGGTTAAAATTGTTTTTGATAGATGTACTTGGAGGGAAGGATTCTGTTGAGAGGGATGTCTATGACTTTGGAATAATCCTTTTTGAACTATTAACAGGGAAAAGACTAAGTCCAACTACTGATTCTTCTGACAGTATTAATGGCCATTTGATGAACTATATCAGTAAAAACTTGTTCACGGATCCTGTTGATTTTTATGATGCCATTGATGATTCTATCATTGGGAAGGGTTTTGATGATAAAATCCTTCGTCTTCTTGAAGTTGCATGTGACTGTGTTAAGAGATCTTTGAAGCAAAGGCCAAAGATGGTTGATGTGCACAAAACTATAAGCGCCATGTGGGAGGGCTACAAACCCTGGTTTGATTCTGAAAGGCTCAAACTGTCTACGGGTTGCGCTGACCATAGAACATGTATCACCGACATTGAATGTATTGAATAGACTTCTCTGTGTATTTACACGAAAAATATATGTAATAACAAATTGTTTTAAGAAAAAATAGGTAAAACTAAAAACAAAATGTATTAAATGTAAATTGTGTTTTAAAGTATGTCTTCTATAATAGAAAAACTAAACGTGGTTTTAAAAGTCAAATATTCAATAAACAGAAACTATGGTTGGAGTTATTTTTTTAAATACGATTTCATTTTTAAAATATCATATCTTGAAATAAATTTATCATCTATATCCATAATATAGTCTACTATAGATAAAAGTGGGCATAGAAAACCTTTTTTTCTACAAGGGGACGCAGCCTCTGTCCCACCAAGGAAAGAAGATAGCTCATACTCTGTGCAGGACGTGGCAAAGTACCTCTTTAGCCGCCCCATTAGTTAATATCCATTTGCATGATTTCAATCCAAGTTTATCTAACCCTAAACTTCTTATATAATACAGATTCATCATCAAATATTGATATATCTAAGAACCCTTATGGTGAGAAAACCAACCAACATGGGTTTGCCTATGATCCCAATGCTTCCTCTCATAGCCGTCCTTTTAGCCGCATCATCACTATCCCAGGTTTCTGATGCGCAAAACTCACCCCAAGACTACCTCAACGCTCACAACACTGCCCGTTCCCAAGTTGGGGTAGGCCCAATGAAATGGGATGCAACCGTGGCCTCTTTTGCACAAAACTACGTGAACAAACTGAAGGGTAACTGCAACATGGTGCACTCTGGGGGTCCTTATGGGGAGAACCTTGCGTGGAGCAGTGGTGACCTTACTGGCACAGCTGCTGTGAACCTGTGGGTGGGAGAGAAGCCAAAGTATGATTACAACTCCAACAAGTGCGTTGGTGGAGAGTGCCGACACTACACCCAGGTGGTGTGGCGCAACTCGGTGCGTCTTGGGTGTGCTAAAGTGCGCTGCAACGATGGTCGTAGCACCATTATCAGCTGCAACTATGATCCACCAGGGAACTATATTGATCAGAGGCCTTTTGATATCGATGCTTTCCAAGACCACTGAGCTTCAATAGTGGACGATAACTAAGATGTGAACCTACGAACTACGTTGTTGGAATAAAATAAATGTATCAGTGGCAGTTCTGCATATGTTTTGTTCGTATGCAGAGTAGCATGCCAGCTTCAGTATTCATCAGTTATGCTAAAAAATTGCTTTTTGTTGTGAAGTTAATTAAGGGCCATCCAAAGTTGACCGATGCAACTTCAGAGTGCGAACACAGTGTCGTACATAAATATAATATAAGGTAGTTTATCTATTAAATATAGGATATACATTAGTACTACATTGTAAGGTGTACGTACACTGCAAAAATATAATATGAATTTGGATAATATAACTAAAAATAAGGTGGTTATCTAATGAAAAGTAAAAATCACTTATTTATTCAAAACCCTCACCCTGGTGTTCCTTGATAAAGGAAAACATAGGTCGAAATTTCAACAGTGCATGACTAAAAGAAAACATTTCCAGAAGATTTAATATCAAAGTTAGAGATATTCAAAATCAAATTAAACAATTATCTTTTAATAATTATTATAGTGTTTTATTGTAATATAAAGGAACGAAATTATCTTTTAATAATCATATGTAAATTTTTACTTAATATAAAAAAAAATTGTGAGATATAAAAATTATTTTTAAAGATTTTATTATAATTTTATTTAAATTTTAAAATCAAACTTTAAGGAACTAGTATCCAATGCCAAATAAACTACTACTCTGAAATGAACGAAGCTCATCCAAACTAAACCCGAAATAGAAATGGGCCAACGAGGTCTTGAACTCAGCCCGAAACAACAACCAACACCAAATCAATCACACACACAGAAACACAAGTAAATTTTAAAATGATCGTGGTGTCAAATTTAAGTAGAACGCATTAATATTATTTAGATGTTTATGAAATCCTTAACATTGAAACGTATATAAAAATATTGAATTTAATTAAAACGTATTAATAAGTTAAAATATTTGTATAGTATTATCTAATTTATATATCTATGTATATATACTATTTTTTTAGTAATATATAGATTGTTATATATGATTAAATTGTTAAATTTCATAATTTTAAAAATTAAAATTAAGACAATTTTTACTTGGTTAAATGTATAAATTATATAGTAATAATATATGACAAATAAATAAATAAAAATTTTCTTATTTTGATGATAATATTTTAATAAAATAATCATCTGGATGTCAAATAAATTTTAATTTTATTAACTAATAAGCAATTACTTTAAATATTTTTTGCTAAATAATTTATGGTGATTTTGTTTATTAAAAATTAATATTAATATAAATGAAATAAATTAGTTAATGTTATTTTTGTGGTAGGCCTTACTATGTATAGTGGAGATTAGATGAAGGGGATGTGAATTTTTCATATTCAAGAATCATGTTGGTGAATGAAATATGGACATGCTGTTTCTTCACTTTTGCACAGATAAGTATGTTAAAGTGGACCTAATGAATCTGTATCATTCTGCACTCATTGGCCTAATGACCTACTTTTATTTGCATTCTAAGATCACATCTCAATAATCATAAATATTAACAGCCATCTATTGTAAGCACTTTCTCGTGTAAATAGTCTTACAGAAAAAATACATAATTGGAGTCAGATTCCATGTTTATCCCAAATCTGAGTATATCTTCTTATGGAAAGACAAAAAAAGGAGTTTATGATAGTGGAAATGTATGATCGCAATATTAACCACAAAGCCCTCAAATAAAGAGGGAGACTAATAAATTAATCACAAGGGTGGCATACAGAATAAGAGAAAAGTTTAGCAGCACAAATACATCTCCACTACTAAAACATCTGTCATAAAACCAAATCCCACAGAAGAAGTAATGAAAATTGAATTAAATAATCTCCCCCTGCACTTCCTTAATATTCTAAAAGAACTTATAAAATAAGGGCCAAAGCTAAAAAAACATGAAAAGTGCAGCCGAGACAGCAAGAGTCAAGCCAATTATTAATGTTGTGCAAGAGGACCTCCAAGCAGCTGTACCACAAAGCAAGGATATATATTAAAATTCATTCCCTTAATTATTAGATATGACAGTGAAACTTAGTCTACTCTTATCACCATGCCTTAATTTCAAATTTGTAGGATAAATGGTTATAGTAGGGAAACAACTTCAAAAACAAAACTTAGATACATTTCAGGTGTTTCTAGTGTGTCTTCTACAAGAATTAAGAGTTTCATATCGCTCAGTATCAAAGGAAAACTTTAATTCTGATGAAAGAATAATAAAAAATTTCTTCAAGAATTGTATCTAAGCTTTGTCCTAATTTCAATTGCTAAAAAGGTAAACGAGTGTCAAAGGACTCACCACTTAGAAGTGTAGAGCCATTAGAATAAAACTGATAGTCATTGTACCACATAAAGCAATTAGATCCATAAATTTCCCATCTTCTTTTGTTTCCAATGACAGTTCTGAAAGTTACCAACTGAGCATCCAAGCACCTTCTGCAGTCCTCCCTGCTGATATCTCTGGTGCATTGAGCCATGCCATACCTCTTCTTCCCACTTTGACTTGTGTTCAGTACTGCTGTATGGAACATGAATGACTTGTCTGGAGCCTCAGCTGCCAGTCCACTCATGAAGGGAAGCCCTTCTGAGACCACAGAAGGGTCATCAAAATCAGTTTCATTTGTGATTGCCACAGCTGTTTGTTGCATAACTCCAAAGAAGCTCTCATTTGAATACCGTACGAAACACCATCTAAACCAAACTGTAGCATCTGTGCTCATAGGACAATCATCTGAGGCTACTCTGGTGGAATTAAGGGTGCAATCAGAACAATTGGTAGCAGATATGTCCCCTCTACATAACACTGTACCATAAACCCTGTTGCCTTTTTTTCCTACAACGTTTTGGTAAAAACCATGGTGTTCCACCACATTAGATGCAAGTGAATCCAACAAACTTCTCAGATTGGTTTGGAATGTGCCATCATTGTTAGAATAACCAGCTTCTGAGCATTGAGAACCTGATTTCATGTTGGTATCAGCAATACAAAAGCCATTTGGAAAGATCAAAAGAAACAAAAGGATAACACATGGCACAACAAAGTACAGTGTCTGCATTTCTTTGTAATCCCTTCTGTGGCAGAAGAGGATGATCAGAAGCAATGAGAGTGAGTGTCACCCACCTTGCAAAATATTGAACTTTTATCTGTTGGCATAATATTGACCTTTAATAAACAGTTTTTAATTGCAAGTGTGCAAAGTCAACTCTTGAGTGACGAGCAAATGATCATGTATAAAGTTGTACGCGACAGTTTATTAGAAGTCAATAATTTTTTAGATTTGTTCAGTGATTAACTTATCTATCTATATCTATGAACCTCGGAATCACAAACAAAACGCTAATTAAGTTGATGAATTTGTGGTGGATATGCACTCAGATTAGATTATTACAAAGATTAGGGAAGCCTGCAGCAAATCACAAGAATATGCTTGTTGCACCAATATCTCTCTACCTGCTACTTCTTGAACGATATCGTGATTCGTGTAGAATTTAGTGGAGTGAGTAACTTTGACATTAAGTTCCAAAAGAATTTGGGAGATGTTAATTGTTAAAATATTTAGTGGAATTAACCTTAGTATTATATTCACATTGATTAAAGTAATAATTAGTAAATATTATATGAAAAAATTGACATGTAAGAAACATTACCATTAGGATAAACATTGTGAAAAGGAGCACTCCACTTTGCTTAGAAATGATGTTCCTCATGACTCTAATGAGTAATACTTCCATTTCAAACCAATAGCCTCACAATGATATTTCTTTCCTAAAACTCATTAGATAATGAAAAGATGTGCAACGGGCACGCTCCGCAATTATTTTCATTTTTTTAGTTGACGGAAACAAACAATGAAAAGTTACCCACTCAATCTCTAAAATATTTATTCAAGTTGTTCCTCACCTTTAACAATTGTGGCTCTATGATTTCTTTTCTCCTACCTTTTGTGGGTTCGATTACTCTGTAGAAAGCCCATCAAGGTCTCATCATTGGCCCAAACTAGCTCACCGTAAACCATAAAAGCCCAAAGGTCCACAGTAAAAAAAAATGAATTATGCTATTTCTTCCTATAACATTTTTCTAATAATTCTCTCACTTAAGAAAACATTAAAATATAATCATTTTTAAATAAGATTTAAAAATTAATATTTTTGTTTGTTAATTTTTTTTATTGGATATATACCATTTTACGACAGTGACTCTAAAATCAGACTCAAGGATAAAATCATTTTGAAGGTCATTAAATTGTTTAAGAATGTTGGACGGTTAAAGCAGTTAACAAGGTGAAGTATGAGATTATCTAATAAATCGTTATATATAGAGGATCTTGTCGATATTCTTCATATAATCTTACTCTGAGCAATACAAGATTATTTTATTTTCCTTTTCATGTTTTCTATTTTATAGTCTTGCAAACCCAAAATAAATCTAATATATATCCATAAGTATTTTATTTAAATATAATATTTTTAATAATTTTGATTCTAATTTTTCAAATAATTGTAACACCATGTAACATTAAGAACCTGTTAGTAAAAAATCGACATAAAAATCGAGAAACAAAAGAAGAGGATTCGATGGTTATTGCTAAAGAAATTCAAGAATTGGAATCGAGAATCGAAAGAAATACAGGAAATTCGATGATCAAGGGGAAGTAAAAATCGATGAAAGGTATTGAGTATGGAGTTAAATGGAAAACCAGAAATAGTTTTTAATATTCGATGGTTGAAGTCAAAATCAAAGGAACGGTTATCACGCACATGAACGTGGGAAACAGTTTTCTCAAAACCGCAGCTAAGATAAAAAGAAACAGATAGTTAACGTACGTGTATATGGAACGTGGTAGCAGTTTTCTAAACTGCTCTTAAGAAGTTACGTTAAAGCGGACCTATAAATAGAATGAAGCATGAAGAAGAAGGGGAAATTGGCAGAGACAACAGAAGCGCAAGTGAACAGTCTACAGGAGAACGATGCATCATAAAGTTTCTAATGCTCTGGATTTCCGTTTTTATTGATTATCTTTATCGCTTTCTCTACTTTCCCTAATAATTTACTTTCATTGCAGTTTACGTTTGTCAAATTTTAAGTTTTGTCCTTTCGATTCCTTGTCATTTACTTTTATGCAAGTTAAGGTTATGCGTTTAAGATCCTCGCCATTTACATTTATGCAATTTCGATTTCCTACTATTTACATTTCTGCATTTTCGATTTCCTGTTATTTACATTTCTGCAATTTCGATTTCCTGCTATTTACATTTCTGCAATTTCGATTCTTTGCCCTTTTACACTTAATGCAAATTTGAGGTTTCCGCACTTTATATTTTTCTGCAATTTAATATTCTGCACTATCTTTCGATTCGACATTTTTTTACTGTTTTCTTTACTTCGCGTCTCTCAATGAAAAATACCAAAAATAGTACTTTCGATTTGCATACTAATTTGTGTTGTTTACAGTTTTTGAAACCATGGGATTTTCGATTCTCATGCATTTTTCGATTGAAAACCGTTTGCTAGCCTAAATAAAAAGAATCTACGTGATTAAAATTTGGTTAGAACCTAAGTCTCGATTTAATCGAAATTGATCAAATTTTCACCAGAAACAAATTGGCGCACCAGATAGGGAACGTATTGTGTATTATACACAAAGTCTGGCTAGTTCGATGAGTGTATGAGACTAAGGAGTGGACGAGTAGTAAGAATGAGTCAAAATCCATCAAATAGTCAGGGTAACAGTGAGATTCCTAATAGTCTGAATCCACCAAACACTGGGGGGCAAGTTCACAATGAAATTATGTTTGTAATATCGACAACTGTGAGTGCGTCGATTCCAGTGAGTTCTGAGCAAAATCAAGGGACATTAGCAAATGCTCAGATAATAGGGTCTGGAACTGTAATGTCAAATACTATACAAACCATGGGAAGTCCCGTAATAACATATGCAGGTCCGCATATGAGTGTAAGGCTGCCTGGTTTTTCGATTAATAATATGAACGTGGCTGGTACTTCTTCAATACAACGAAGTACGAGATTCAACCTAGGAATGCCCCAAAACTTAAGAACAGGTCAAACCTTAGGTATGCCTCAAAATTTTGGCCCAAATTTAGGGGTGTCTCAAAATTTAGTAACACCCCAGAATTCAGGAAATGTGCAGAATTTAGGAACACAACAGACACCTCCAATATCAAACTTAGATCATAGGGAAAACTTGGATCACGGGAGATATACGTTCGATAGAGATTATCATCGATCCAATTTTGAGACTATCGAAAACACTAGTACTGAAATTTCCAGTAACTCATTAGGAGTACTTCGACAACAAATGGACGAAAGTAATTTCAAGATGGTTAACATGTTATCACAACAGTTGACTACGGTTTTAAACCCATTAGTTCAAAATACTACCACTAGTTTTGAGATATTAGCAGACCAAATGACACGTATCGGGGATGCATTAGCAATACCCCGACAAACGAGGACTCTTCTTTGATTTTTGTTTCTGAAATTAGAAGTGAATCAGCTATAGACAAAGAAAGTTGAATAAATAAGACAATAAGGAATCGAAAAGAAACCTTCGATTTTTTCGAAGATGAAGAAATGGTGGCAGAATGCTTGCGCTTCTGAGTGGGGGCCGATGGATCCGACTCGTCCGAAGACTCCCAGTCTTTCTCGGAGGCGACGGTTTTATGAGGTTTCGAAACTATCGAAAAAAGAAAAACAGTTAAATTGCAATGTGAAGAAAATAAAAAATACTCCTAAAAGAGGTGGTAAAATCTCACCAAAGGGTGATGGAGTTAAAATCTTGACTCGGTCGATATGGACGAGCCAGGGAGGAAGAAGATTTTGAGGAAGGTTCAGGTAAGGGAAATAAGACAGTTTCGATATCGAAATTTCTTTATTCTTGGGTTTGGGAGAAAGAGTTTCTTTCAAGGATCTTAACTCTCGAACCCATTTAGGATGAGTTAAAGGTTTGGCGAGTCCAAAAGGAGCTGAAGGGAAAGTGGGAAGATGGTTGGGACAATAAATTTCAAATGGGGTTTTGCCTCAAGGATTGATTATTTTGTGGTTTGATCGGTTAGTGTCTGTTTTATTGACTAGGGAGATAACAACATCATAAAAGGTCTCTTCTAATTTCAGGGGGTTGTAGCATGCTCGATAAAAATTTTCAAATCGAGATATTTGGAGATAGTGAGAGTATGTACCTTTCTTCGCCTTGAATTTGTTCTGCAACACGAGAGAAGGACGAACAATCAATTTTGATTGGACTATGTCAAAATTAGAATGAATACTTGAAAACCAATCGGTCCACCACTGAGAAAAACCAAGAGTAGATAAATAATTCGATTCAAAATTATAAGGGTAAAAATGCATCGGGTTTTTTGGCAACAGCTTGGCAAGTTCCCGTCCAACATTTGATTCACTTAATTTGGACCTTGAGGAGGTTTCGAGGGGGAAAAAGGGTAAAGCCTGACTCAAACCAAACTTCCGCGAGAAGAGCTGAGGATAATAGGTGACGAGTTGAAGATCCTTCGATTGAAAACCCGACACTAGCACATCCTGGGTCAAATAATTGTTCCACACTTCGACCAATTCTGATTGCAATCCGGGAGTAAGAGCAGGAAATTTTGATTTAAATCATGCCGGTCCTCGAAGCTTGTCACTTACTTTCCCATGATATATGGTGAAGGGGGCCAAGTTCGACTCAAAATGAAATCGAGTCAACAAAAATTTTAGGTAATTTCGATAACTAGCCTCGTCGAATTTTTGGTGAGGACGTCGAGAGGATAATCGAGCGCCTTCCAGATTCAAACTCGAGGGAATTTCGGAGGTTGGGGGGAGGATACTTTCAAAAATTGAGGTAAGCCATAATTGAATGAACCAAATAGGACCTGAAAAATTCCCTGAGGCCCTGGGGGTATTCAAAATAATGACCGCTTCATCAAAAGAAGTATAAACATGGGCCAATAACAACTTTGCTAAACAAATCCTGGGTTGGCCAGTGTGGAGGAGATAGGCAAGATTATAAAGGTGGGACGAGATCTGGATGGATCGAGGACAAAA